ATTATTATTATTATTATTATTATTATTATTATTTCTAACCTGGTAGTTATTCATAGCTATGAAAAACCATTTAGCTGATTAGTGTAAGTGCTAGGGGTAAATTTTAATACCGCTGTAGTAAATTCAGGGGTGTGAGAGTCTGGAATGAGTGACCCAGCCTTGTGGTTGAAGCTGAACTAGTTGTATCTTCCAAAGATGCATTAAGCACTAGTGTGGGTAGAACTCCTAATAACAGGAAACATGGAAATTAAAACTCATAGGTGAGGATGTTTACCTAGAGCGACTGTTTGCACCAGGGAGCGTGATATTGTGTTGCACGAGGTCCCTGTTGCTGGCTACGCTCAAGCCTGTTAAAGTGAGAACGAAATCGTCCTAAATTAAGAAATGGTATGTATTTGTCAAGCATGTTAGATAAAAAATGTACAAATAAACACTGTTCTGTGTTTGTGTTTTTACTAGCATTTTATTTCATGAAGGTTATAATCCAGTAACTGTTTACCAGGTCACCTGAAGTCAAATTAATAATTAACAGTTGTCTGCTGTAGAGGAAGCTTTTAAGACAGTGAAGATATTGAAAATCTGGTCTTAGAAAACTCCTTTTTTTTTACCAGCCCTTCTTTGGAAAGCTTTAATGAAAACTACACGTTATACATTTTAGGCAACAGAGATGTTCTGTGCCGAATCATTTTGTTATTTGAACCTGCTCATATTGAATAACGTTTCCTCTTGTTTCGTCAGTCAGTTTGAAAGATTTTGCCAGGGCGCTTGCGAGTCAGGAACAACGTTTATTTTCTGGACCTATTTGACCTCACCTGTTGTGTTTTTCTTGGCTCGCTTGCAGTCATTCCAATTCGTAACTGGTCTTGCGAGGAGTCTGTCTGTGTGAATAGCTGGACTGACCTGACGAACATTGTTTCTCTTCCAGGTCATTTTTGTCAAGAAACTCGAACCGTTTGCCGCAATACGTTCCCAACAGCTTCAGTGCGAGAAGAAGTACGATATTTACTTCAGTGATTCCAAGATCTACGCACAGTTCAGGTATGTGGTTTTTTTGGGGGAAAAAAACCTCACAGGACCAAGGATAGAGACAGGCCTATTCTTAGCCATTTTATTCCTTTGTGTGACTCCAGTCCATCGGTACTTCATGCTCTTAATTGGTTATTACTTCATTAATAGGAGCAAGTAGGAGCAAGCCCTTGTATTTGGAAATTCTGCCTGCCTCTGATTGTGACAGGTTGACAAGACGTCATCCTTTTTGTTTGTTCAGCTGGGGCGTGGAGAGAGCCGTTGCAGCCAGCTTTTAATGAGAGGAATGGGTTTGAGCCTTGCCGAGCTCGTGCGGCGCGTCGTGAGACCGCGATCTCCCAGACATCTTAAAGTATTTTGACTTTGCCTCCCTCCTTGATTTCAGGAAGATTTTACAATCGGAATGCCCGCAGTGTCCTGAACCGAGAGTCTTTTCCAAGTTCGAGGAGCTGGAGCACCATATGAGGAAGCAGCACGAGCTCTTCTGCTGTAAACTGTGTGTGAAATACCTTAAGGTAGACACTGCCGTTGACCATACACCTCTTGTCAAACTAAGGGGTATTGAGAGTTCGTGTGTCGTGCTGGATATCCAAATATCAGGACAGCCCCTTTTCTGTTCTCCATTCCTTTCCAGGAGCTCTGTCTAGCCACTTTTATCCACTTAGCTCTCCAAGGGCTGCTTGAAAGAGCATTGAAATAATTAAAGATTTAGCAGGGGTGAAGGTTAACAGTGGAAGAGAGTGCTAGGAAATGTGAAGGTTGCTTGTATGAAATCTCAAGGTGAAGTATTGCAAGATAAGTTAGTCAAACCGGTAAAGGGACTTCTTTCATAATTAGAGGGTAGCCTGAAAGGCAGCATTGTGACTGTTCTGCATGCAGGTGTTTGTTTGTTGACAGTCAGCTACTTTGGATGTCATAGGAAATGAACTGGTTATTGATTTTAGGAGAAATACCACACCCCCTCAACCCACTATAATTGATGGTCAGCCTGTTGAAAGTGTCGATGACTATAAGTACGTGGGACTGGTCACTGACAAAAACCTAAAATGGGACAAATGTGACACGATCTATAAAAAAGGCCAACAGAGACACGTCTTTCTTAGAAAACTCAGGTACTTTAAGTTGGATAAAACTATTCTTACACTTTTCTACCAATCATTCATTGAAAGTGTCTTGACATACTGCTTCACTTGTTGGTTTGGCAGCATAAGTACCGGTAATTGTAATAGGCTGGTAAATTCGTGAATATAAGGGGCAATATAATCAGGAATAATCAAATCAACTTAAGCATCCTTTACAGAGGGTGACTAAGATAGCCAAAAGCATCAGGGAGTGCGTGTCTCACCCCCTCCATTGCGAATTCACACTTCTCCCATCTGGGAGATGCCTCTGTGCCCCCAGGTGTAAAACCAGCAGACTCAGGAAATCTTTCATCCCCACTGCAATCACACTCTTAAACAAGGCAAAGGAACTACCTCGTCTCTTGTTTCAATTCAATTCAATTCAAGGCGCTTTATCAGCATGACCGATGGGTACAATCAGTGTTGCCACAGCAAATAAAAATCCTGAAATTCCCATGAAACAAAACAAAAAATACAAGTGAAATAAAATCTACAGACATTTACAACAGAGACATATCATAAAGTATTTACAAATACCGTAGACAGATGGAGTATTATTGGGAGACAGACTCGCTGTTCCTCAGGCTGTGGTTTCTCCTGTAACACTGCTGTGTTCTCCTCCCTTTTGATTGTGTGTATTGTCATTGTGTTGTGTTTGACTGTGCCGTAAAACAGATTTCCCCTAGGGGACAATCAAGCTTGAATTGAATTGGGAGTAGTTTGGCTTAAGGTGCTGTCCAGGTGCTTGACGTTGACGTTTGCCGTGCACTGCTTCCACCCCCGACAGATCTTCACCCACGAGCGGAGGTGGTACAACCGGAAGGAACTGGCCCGCCACCGCACGCAGGGAGACCCCGACGATACGTCCCACCGCGGGCACCCTCTGTGTAAATTCTGTGACGACCGCTACTTGGACAACGACGAGCTGCTGAAGCACCTGAGGACCGAGCACTATTTCTGCCATTTCTGCGATTCAGACGGCGCACAGGAATACTACAGGTGTCCAGGATTCCCGTTTTGGCCTGTCTGCTCTGGGCGCTGTCGAGGAGCGTCGTGTCGGTAGAATTGAAAAACAAATGGCAGCTCGTGAACTGAAACACAGAATGATTTTGTTAATTTTCCATTTAGTCCTTGCCCAGTGTTGGGTAATCGACCAAGCCAGGCGTCATCTCAGAAACCATAAAAGGCATCGGTTAGTCAGTCTTTTTTTTTTTAGTGGGCATTCACATGTTTTCTTTTACAGTTACAATAGGAGAGGTGATCGGCTTTTTTGTTGTGTCATTTGTGTGATTTTGGAAGATGGCGCCATGTTTTTTTAGGCCATATTCAGTAGAGGAATGACTAAGTCAGCAGTGCGCATTTTCCCCCTTTCACTCTGGAGGTTCAGACGCGTACAGTTTTTCCCGTTACGGACGCAGGCTCTTGGGTGGAACCCTGCCGTGGGGATCGTGTCGAAGTTCCTCCGGCATTGACTCGTCCCCCCCCCCCGGAGGCTTTTTGTAACCTGATGGGTTTTTGTTCCCGGGTTTCCGCAGCGACTACGAGTACCTCCGCGAGCACTTCCGCGAGAAGCACTACCTGTGCGAGGAGGGCCGCTGCAGCACCGAACAGTTCACCCACGCCTTCCGCACGGAGATCGACTACAAGGCCCACAAGGCCTCCTCTCACAGCAAGAACAGGGCCGAGGCGCGCTTGAACCGCTACATAGACCTGCAGTTCAGCTACGCCTCGCGACACCAGAGGAGGAATGAAGGTGAGCTGAGGCCCAGGGGGACAAGTGGGTATTTTACCCAATTTTATCCAATTTACACAATTTTGTTAATTGGGGCTGAAGAGGTGTCCTTGGGATGAAGTTCTTTTTAATTCCGGGTGAAACGGATCAAATGTGGTATGAGGTCAAGATAGAGGGGGGCCTCCTAGGGGGTGAGGAGCTCAGTGACAGCTTGTAGTCGGACCCCCTGATGGTGGCGTGTTCTCTGCTGTCGTTGGAGTAGAGGACTACGAGGAAGCAGAGAGCTATGTCCGGTCCCTGAGGCCGACGAGAGGAGGAGCTAGGGGAGGGCAGCAGAACCGGAGAGGAAGCTGGAGATACAACAGGTAGGCTCTTGCGCCGCTATTTCAGCGCTGCCGAGACCCCCGCGACCCGATTCTCCCCTGCACAGGCTTCCCGTGTAACTAACGAAGTCATTGGCTGGTTGATCGCTAGTAGGCGGTTGGCCCAACAGTGGGGGAGATAGGGGCCTGCTGGTATTACGAAGGCAGAGGAGCACTTTCTTGCCACTAGAGTAGTTCCGACATCTCGGACTCCGGCCTGCTGACACATTTGTCGCCGTTTGTCGCTCGCAGGGAGGAGGAGGACAGAGAGATCGCGGCTGCGGTCCGAGCGTCCGTGGCAGCTCGCCGGCTGGAGGAGAAACGTCAGGCTCAGGAGCGAGAGCCCCCGAAACCCCGCAAAGAGGAGGCGATGGAGGCCGAGGACGGCCGGAACCTCAGGAGCACGACCAAGCCACCCAGCGAAGCCCCAGGTGTGCGCGCGTTTTAAAAAAGGAACGTCGCCCAGATATCACATCCATCTCGGACGAAAGTCTCTCCTAATACAGCTGTTATTTGCTTTCCGGTTAAGTAGGCACTCAACAACACTTGTCATATTTTATATCAGTTGGACATTTGTGTGTAATTATGGACAGTCATTTTGCTCAAAGCTCTGGAATACAGATTACAGCATGCTGTGGGGATCAAGGATCAAGCCGTATGTTACTTTACTTTTCTTTGATTTAGGTCCTAAAGAAGCAAGTAAGTCAGTAAATGGCAGCGCTCCTCTGAAGGGGGAAGACTTCCCAGTTCTTGGGGCAACAGCTGCACCTATGGCATCCATTCCAAGGTGGGTTGTAGTGCACATCCGTATAGAGTAAAGAAAAGAGGCAGAAAGCTGACTTATTGGCAGTATCAGTCACCCAAAAAGTACTGCATCCTCTGTTAAATAACACGGGCTCTGTCAAGGAACCTGAAACGAGCAGCGGTTGAATGCCTGCTGGGTCTGTAAGTTTGTAATACTGATTTCAACATGATGTTAAATGTGTTAAGTCTATCAGAACTGATTCAGAGTGGGGGGGAAAGCACAATTAATGATTGGTTAGACAGTGTAAGGATGGGTGCTAGGGTTACAGTAAGGGTTACTATAGTAACCTGTGGTTAGGGTTGAAGTTACGGTGGTTGTTGGAGTGAGAGGCAGGGCTGGAGCTGAGAACTATGGTGGGAAGGCGAGTAATTCCAGCCTTCAAACACTCTGAGCCGCCCTGTGATGTTACAGACTGAGAGGAGCCGATGTTGCCATTTTGTCATGAGAGATGTCAAAGTGAACCCAATTTATGATGCCCTGGTTTGTTTTAGGTTCAGGACATCCTGTTTAGCCCAGAGGCCTGTCTCCTAAAGGCTGGAAACAGCAGAGCTAGGCTGTGCCTGTTCGTTCAGGGCAACAGAAAAAATATTAGAAATCTTAACGTTTTTAATTCATGGTGTAATAGTAATAATTGTGTTACAGTGTGAAAGACACAAATTAATCCAGTGTGGTACTTACTGCTAACCCCATCCAACTCTATAAAAATCTTAATGGGAGTTAATTAGTTAGCTAACCGCTGAAACAAAAATGAGGAGTTAAAAACCTTTGACTAAGGTAAGGATCTTCAACCCTGGACCAGAGAGCCTTAGCCTTAGTCCAGGTCGATTTCTATAGGTTGAGAACAGTAATGGTTGTGAATCGATTCAGGTATGGAGATTTGTCAAGTTAAGTCGTCTAAGTAATCTTCAGAACCTCAGGGAGAGATTTTTCTTAATGGAACAGATTTGCATGGTTCATCAGTAGCTTACAAGTGTTGTAGGAGTAAGACTAATTGTTGCAAGAGTATGGAAAAAGCTACCCAGCCATGCTGTTAAAGCTGATACCATGACTTCTTTCAAGATGCATCTCGATGATATCCTTGCTATCATTTATTTACTAATCAACAAACCAAAGGGCCTCATTTAGTTTTGAGTCTTTCTTATATTGTTAAGTTGCATGTCTTTCTGCTCTTTAAAGAGATATGATATACTTTGGAATTACATGGAATCATTTTTAAGATGTTGGTTAACATTGCACTCCACAGTCACAGTCACAGACCAAGTCATAGCTAGTAACCATTCTGAATCAATTTAAACTTTAACCACAATTGAAGTGCTTTTTAAGAAATGCAACTGAACCCGACTGGAAAAACATAAATTGTAAAGTCTAGCTGAGTTCAGAACCGATCGATAAAATAAACTTTTACTATTTTTATTTCATTTTTGTTTCTTTATAATCTATAGTGGGTCAAGAATTGCATTTATGCTTTACTGCTTTACTCTGTAAGAGCCCGGCCTTCATCTATTATTTTTAACACTTTCGAGCTTCAGAGCTCTTACCTTAAGCAGACGAATAGCGCTTTCAAGAGAATAACACTACTTTCTATTCACATATTCCCTGCTGCATCACAAAAGCGCTTTAAAAATCCATTGTGTGTGCGCACTGTAGGTCTGCTTGGGTGTACAATTCTGTAGCTTGGACCAAAGAAAGAATGGCACCTAATCCACTTTGACGTCATTTGCAGTTTCAAAACCCCATTAAAACAATTTTCATGAAACTGTCTCCTTTGTTGGGTTTTTGCTTGGGAGACATTTTGTTTATTGCAGCAGACTGTTGTACAATGATTATGCTTGTCTTGACTTCAAGGTTCTATTTCATGTATTTCCAAATAATGCAGTCTGCTTTTTGTTCATTTTCTTGTTCTGTGCTCCTGGTTTAAATTCCTAGCATGGTTACCCGGCACATTTTCAGTCTTTCCATTTGCTTTAGATGTAACGCAGACCACCTGGGCAACACCATTAACTATAGCTGTACATTTCTTTCCAAGCAATTGACAGTAGACATTTAGTCTGGGCTACTTCCTTGTCAGTGGGCTACTTTTGCCCGATTTCATTGGATTCTTATCTTCATTCTGGTGTTTTAGTTTGTCTTTGCAATACTCTTAAGACGTTTTAGGTCAACGAGTACATAATTCACACTAATTTGCAAGTGTTAATTAACAACATACACAGAAAGGTCCGTGCTTTTGCTTTGCATGTTTGTATGTTCTAAATCATGCTTTTAATTAGGGGTTAGAGTGTCTCCAGAATCAATGAGAAGCTTTGCATCCATGCATCCTGCAGTGTAGAAATCTGAGATAGTAGGCCTGATCTCACTTACAGTGGATGTGTAGTTAATACTGCCACTGATTATTGAAAATTATAAGTTGTTCTTTATGATGAATATAGACTTACATTTCCTCTTTGATTTGAAATGTATGTCCTTGTTGAGATGCTTTCTTTGAAACTGGCCTTCCAGTCAGAAAAGGTTAAAACCAGGTTCCGTCTAGCAATGTTCGGTATCTCACCCATGCTCGCGGTCGTACCTGACCTTTTCCTGATAGCCTTTTCAATGATTGAGGATTTTTGGAGCGTATGTGCGGGTGAGAAAGCATAAAACGATGACGGCCCGCTCATCTCATTTGTGTTTTCCCTCTCCTGATTTTCCAGCGCGATCAAATCGGTTCCTGTCGAGCTCAAAGAAGACGATTTCCCCAGTCTGTCCAGCGTGGCACTGACTTCTCCCATGACCACAGCCTACACTGCCCAGCCCAGGAAACCGTCCTCCTTCCAAGAAGAGGACTTTCCAGCCCTGGTGTCCAAAATTAAGCCTCATAAGCCGCTCGGCGGCACCTCGTCTGCCTGGGCCAACGCCGCGAACAAGAATTTGGCGAAACCAGCCGCGCCGGCCTTCTCCTCTTCCAGTCCCTCACAGGCCAAGAAGAAGCCCGCGCCGGGGAACAACGCCAAGGCCAGCTCCAGGGCCAAGCCCGCCTGCTCCGACGACGAGGACGACAAGGCCGGCAGGACCACTCAGGAAATCCGCAGCATTCCGACCATGCTGGACATCTCCTCCCTGCTGACGGGGAAGACCTCCTCCCCGCCCGCGTCCAAGGTGGGCAAGAGGAAGAAGGTGGGGGGAGAGAGGCCGACCCCATCTTCCTCCTCCTCCTCCTCCTCCTCCTCCTCTCTGCCGCCCGCCGAGGAAGCAGCCCCGGCCGTGGCCCAGAAGGAGAACGTTCCCGACAGTAAGGCGCCCACTCCGGACGTCACCGCGCCCGTCTTTCCCGCCGCCCCCAAAACGAACCCGTTGGTTAACGGCCACGCCGACAAGCCGCCCGACAGCAGCGGCGTGGTGGTGCCCAAGGAGCCGCCGGGACTGAGAAAGCAAGTCGCCCCAGATCCCTGCCCGCTCCCCGAGGAAGAAGAGTTTCCGGCGCTCATGCCTAAGAAACCTCCGCCAGGTAGAGTCCAAGACCGTGGGGCTGCGTCCCTCACCCACAGCTGGGAAATTAAAGTCTGGCTGGGGCAATCGCGCGGGTTGCCTTTCGCCATTGCCACGTTTAGAGCAAGTGAGCAAAAGCTGGTAAAAATACCAAAATGCCCTGCCCGTTTTCACCGTACCATGGCAGAAACACGTAGCAACCCCTCAGAGCGTTAATCAAATAGAATCGGAGTTTATTTATCGCATGCACAACAATACAGCGTGCCGCAGCGGTAGGAGCTGGCAATGAAATGTCTTTTCTGCGAGCTCACAAAAATCACAAGAATCACAAAAATCACAAAATTAAGGTTATGAAAAAGGGTTACATAATACTAGATGTTATAGAAATTGAATAAAGCCCAATATGAGTAGAGTTGCTATGTGTTCATGGTGTGTGCAATATATACAAGTCGTGTGGTTATGCTGAATACAGTGAAAACTGTGTGTCCATGGAGCCATTCCAGGTGATTTGCTAAAGCAGCTGCAGGTTGGCTATTGAGCAGTCTTATTGTCTGCTAAAATTCAAATTAATACAAGCATAAATCTTGCAATGCTCTGTTTAAAGAATACCTTAAAACATCAGTTGGTAATACAAAGCGAAAAGCGAGCAAGTGGCGTTTAAACTTTGCTGAGCTAATTGTGTTGGCTTTTTTTTTTTGGCAACGGCCAACCAAAGGGGCCGGAAAAGGCCCCAATTAAAAAAGGGTAAAAAAAAAAAGTCAGTGGCTGTTTTATGTTCCAAAGGGACAAGTAATAGGTTTATTCCACGCTGAAAAGAGAAGAAAACGCAACGTTTCGGCCGTGGAGCCTTCTTCAGGTGTGAGGAAGAAACGTTGTGTTTTCTTTCTTCTCTTTTCAGCATGGAATGAACCTATTACTTGTCCCTTTGCAGCCTACGCATGCTGACGCAGCTCCCCACCTGTTTTATATTCCACCAGGTTTCAAGACTGCGTTTCCCATGAAGGGAGGACAGACGGGCCTACCTCCACCTCCCCCTGGGCTAGCTACACCTATTAGCAAACCTCCCCCCGGCTTCACTGGCATTTCCTTGAATGCGAATCTCTTAGAGCCTGCCATTCCATCGGTCACGGAGTAAGTGAACAGCACATCCTGCTGCAGAACCTTAACTCCCCACAAGAGGGAGTATTGAGACCACGAAATCAACCGCAAAGAAGCCAATCTGATCAGCTGCATCCACCCTGCAGAAGAAATAACAATCGTGCAGAAAAATAAATAGTGCAGAATTTGTTTTGCAGTTTTTGTTTCTAGGCCTGGTTGTAAATATTTATTCCTGGGAAGTGTTAGCTAACATATTCTAGTGAATCTCGTAATTTAGGGATTCTAATTCTTATGTCTATATAGTAGTGGATAAAAGGTAACCGAAGCTATGCCATTCTAATTTTACTTGTTCAATTCCAGACCAGTGTATTCTGCAGGCACCTACCTCGTACCCGAGAATTTCCAGGCCAGAAATATGGAACTCATTAAATCCATAAAAAAGTTCCTAAACAACGACGAGTCGAAGTTCAACGAATTCAAAACCTACTCAGGCCAATTCAGACAGGTAAGCGCGTCTAGGAAATTCTGTCACTTGCACACAGACATGAACTGTCTGCACTCTTTGTAACCTTTAGTTCACAGGCGCATATATTTTGGAGAAAACAAAACAAATGTGAGTTTAACTTCAAACGAATTAGGCTGTGCTCTGCTTTCCTGGGCCGCACACCTGGCCGTGACGTTGGTGAGGATTGTGTCGCGAGAAGAAATGTTTCTCCGTCAGGGAAGTCCCAACAGACAAAACGCTGTTTCTTCTTTCTCCATTTCAGTCCGGAATGAACTTCGGCTCTTTCCTTCTTTTTATTCTGCTGTACCCCTTCTACGTTGCGCTGATTCCATTTTTTTAAAATGTTCATGATATTGAAAAAGACGTCCAAATGAAACATTTTCAGCTGCCCCTCGTCTTTAGGCTAAACAGGGATCTTAACCCCGCTGTCTTCCCCAATCCCAGGGTCTGATCTCTGCTGCGCAGTACCACAGGAGCTGCCGAGACCTGCTGGGAGAGAACTTCAAGAGGATCTTTAACGAACTGCTAGTCCTCCTGCCGGACACCGGCAAGCAGCAGGAGCTCCTCTCGGCCCACAGCGACCTCCGGGTGCTGGAGAAGCAGGGCGGCAGCAAGCCCAGGAAGAATAAAAAGAGCGCCTGGCAGACCGGCACTGCCAACAACAACCTGGACTTGGACTGCCAGATCTGTCCCACCTGCAGGCAAGTCCTGGCGCAGGAGGACTTTGTGGCCCATAAGACCTTGCACGCGGGAGATGAGGACTTCCCATCTCTCCAAGCCATTAGCAGGATCATCAGCTAGCCCCCTCACCCCTCCCCCCGCCCCCTCCCAGCGTGATGGTCCACTCGTCCACCCATGCAGGGTGAACCCGCATCCGCGCTGTAGGAACAGGTGCGCTCAGTGCAAATAATGAAGGTCGCAAAACCCGCCGTGGGGGGTCAGGCAAGTACTTCTTCAGTACGAGAACGGAGCGGTCGTAAGGGTGACCCTTTGAAAGACTGAATCGATTTCCGGGAAGAGTAGTAGTTTCTGAAAAGTCCGACAAGCTGAAGCGGTTCAAATCTATCCCAGCCAGTCTCGTGCTGCGAGGCCAGAGAATTGAAAAGAAGAAGGGGGCATGCAGGCATGCTGGCGGATAACGGTCTCGGCCTTTCCCTGCCGTGTTTAAGGAACAGCTGAAGCGGTTAGTTGTGCTTGAAAATGATCCATTTAAGATTTACTTGAAAGTGAAGTGGTAAAGTTCTTGCAGATTTATCCCCCCTCCCCCCCCTCTTGGAATGCCCGTTTATGTTTGTAGATTTTATATATCAAGCTCTTCAAGCCTGTACATTGAACTGTAAAAATTGTATTTAATTTGTTATCCGCTTCAGTTCTTCAATTTGTTGTTTAATGTGTATGCAGAAAGTGCTGAATGCAAAGGGCAAAGTACAAAACTTATGATTTATTTAACAACATTTATACAAATTAAGACAAAAATTTAGACACTGTATATTGAATGAACCTGGTATTAAAGGTTTAGACTACACAGTTAATTAAAATGTTTTGATTGTTGTGGTGGGGGGGAGGCTTTGAAAACAGTCCCAGAACTTTATTTCTCAAAAAAATGTAATTGGCCCAGTTTTACAGGGTAGGCATGATACTGAGCTTCAGTGATAATATGAAGCAGTTTCCACTGTTTGGCTGGAGCTGTTAGCAATACATTACAATGCAGTTCACGTCCTAGTGCATGGTTTCTTTAATGGTATGGGTTACTGGCTTCACAGCTTCATGGATGGTATTTTCTCCCATTCCTCCAGAATCCACAGATCCGTTTGTTCAAACTCTTCTGGGAATGCACTTGAGCTTAAGATTTTTTTTTCACACTAATTCATGCCCTGATCACTTCCATTGTTTTGACTGTCCTTTCATTTGAAATACAATATTGAACTATACGTAGGGCATGATCTTTACAAAATTACTAAAATTTGAAGATAATGTTTGAGAGTATATGCTGTTTAATGTCATTCTATGCTGCTGTCTTCATTTTTTTGGGATCCACTCACAAACTTTATATATAACACTCTTCCAGCTAGAAAGAAAACAACAAGAAAAAACATCTTCATGCAGTTTTCACACAAATATCATTTAAAGGGAGTTTTTTACCATCTAGAACAGGTGAGCTGCCAATTAGGTAATCGAAACCATTATGACAAAGATCGAGTCATCTGTTTTACAAAATATGGCCACCATCATACCATCTGTTATTTTACCAAATGCTTTATCAAATGTCTTTTGAGGTTATGTTGGAAAGTGCTTAATAATTCAAGGGAGTTTCTCATAGTTTGAAAGTGTTCCACCTCGTTGACGGTTCTCATCTGGTCTTTTGCTTTCCCCTACAGACCGTAGTCTGTTGTGGGCTGTATTTTACTTTAAGAAAAGACCATAATCAAGCTCTTTCAATACCAGATTTGAAGGCACTTTTTCGAAGGATCTCCAGAATCCTTGATTTCTGACTACCCATTCTCTTTCGATTGGTTCACAGTGTAGAGAGAGGCATTTTGCTCCCTGCAAATGCATCTTTTTTCCTTCAGTTTATTTTGCTGCTTTTCATTGAAGCGATTTTGTAAAACAGTACCTCTCCCTGTATTTTGAAAGAGGTGCCAATAAAAAAAGTGGTTAAATTCAGAGCTGTCTTTGTGTTTTGCCAAGGTCTCAAGGTCCTCCTTTCTAATAGAAGTCTGGTCTATTTTCTAGGATTAATGTAGACTTTTACAATACCATTTTTAGCTCTCACTTGCTGCTTATGAATTACCTGTGTTATGAGTGATTCTGCTTTAATATCCTCTTCAGACGTTACACATTCAACCACAATGATACTGAGTTGACAGAGAAACCAGTACTAGGGACTAATACGGACAGATACAGCACAAGTGTATGAAGGTGTAGTGCTTATTCTTGGAGGAAGCTTGTAATACCTGTGTCACAAGTTTCTGTTTCTGAGCTTTGAGTCTTTTCAGAAGCCATTTTTCTAGTTAACACAGCAAATACATCAGAATCTCTCTGAACAAACAGCAGTATATGCAACAAGTAATATGTTGAAATGTTTGAGCAACCAATCTAGCATAAATTATTATGTCTTAAGTGCACATATACTGAAGACGTTCATATAACCAGTCATGTCCCAGAGTGGAATTTGCTTCACAGAGTGATTGATCTTGCAAAACATTTTACGAAGCACAAAAGACATCTTTGGAATATGGAATATGTAAGTAAAAAGTATTTTTTTACGTTTTTGGTTACTTTATGATTTTGTACCCCAGTTATAGTTGGCCCATGTTCACAATCCTGAACAATGCAAAAGCCTTAGGTGAACAAAGACTTTTTTTGTGAATTCCCAGCAGTTTGTGTAGTTGCATGAATGAAGTGGTACCCATCTTCTTAAAAACAAGATTTTTATTTTCATGACCTGAAAAGACAATCGCAAATTTAATTTGGCAAAAAGCAATGGTGCTTGCAAACCAGTACCTTTACAGAAAATGTACCGTCATGTTGGAAGTAAAATCATGAATAAGAAGCCTATAACAAAATAACCCATGCTAGAAATTGGTCCAAGAAGTATTTTAACAAGAGCGCATTAATAGTACAGGAAACACAAGACTTTAAACAGTTTAATAAAGAGTCCATTAAGATATACTGAATTACAATCAATATCACTTTGTGTACATTACCCTATCTCACAGCTTACAGATACATTAGAGATGTGCTACCACAAATAGTAAACACGAAGCACTGTTAATATGTCCAACACTCCCCAACTCACACCCAAACCAAACCAGGGATGCTCTCAAAAGTTTTAGGTTTAAAGACAACTTTCAGTCCTTTGTGAGGACTACAGACAAGCGCACAGTGAAGAGCTTACTTTTGTTTGTTTGTTTTTTTTATATGGGAGGTGGCTGCTTTGTTTTAAAAAAAAAAGACGAAGTCCCAAATTTAATTAAGGAAAAGTTTGAAGGGGGATTAGCTGCAAACAGGGAAATTTGATTTTCTTTTTCTCAGATGTCTTGTTAATGAGAATTGTGCCTTCATACCGTGTTAAGGAAGTCTGCAAATTAAAATCTCATCAGAGCCTACAGCATTCAAGTGGATTACACCTATTAAATCTAAGTACCTGCACTTAGATTTATATCATTAGTTAAACTTGACTAAAGCCAGTTACTCTGTAATTACTGTATTCATTCTCAGTCTATTGGATTTCTCCTTTTTTTCCAACTTATTGAGTATTAGCCACTGTACAACATTACAAAAATAGCTCCAAATATCACACAGAAATGGCCTTCTTCTATTTTCAACAATATTAAAGGGCTCTTAGCGAAAAGCAAAAATTATGAACCCATTTATTGTTTTTCTCATAGAGGTCACCTTGCTGTACCTATAAAAAATCCACGTCTTGTATTTTAGAAGAAGCCCAGTCAGAAATAAGAGTTTACACTTTAATGGAAAAGCCGATTCTGCAACCCGTGGAGCAGCCAGGAGCAGGTTAAGATTTCCGTGTTTTCCCAGGCTCTGAATGAGAGAAGATCCCCAGAGGGAATCTCTCACATTTAAAGGAATAGTCAGTCCCCTTGATCCTCCAAACAAGACAAGGCGTGAAGCCAAAACAATCCCACCCTGAGAACACCTCACCTTCAGGGTGTGATCTTCCTTCCTAAACCCTTGTAAATGCTGCAGCTTCCTCCTTTTTAAAAGAGCATTTCAGTGGTTATTTCGTTCTAAGTTTTGGCAAATCTGAGATGCACCTTTCTTTGCTTTAAATAGGCGTTCCAGTGGCTGAATTCCATGACATTCGCTGCTGTCCAGATGAATGGACCCAAAGACAAGGCCTCCTGCCATTTTCACATCTGCATTTTTCTGTTACAGCTACTTTCAGCCTCTTCAGGGCTTTTAGTGACTTCATACTTTATCAACTTTTGAGACAATCCCTTGAGAGTACCACTGTAAAAAAAACAAAATGTGGTATACAAAATGATGTAGGCATAGTGTGCTTACATTCACATTGGTACAGAGTTGACATCACTGATTCGGACAACCTTGAATACATCTTACCAAGCTCCTACCTGTACATGAAGAGGAATAACACTGCTTTTTTTTCTCATTTTTCTTTTTTTTTTAAATAGAACTAGAATATCTAATACACATACACTTCATTGGTTTGTTTCACAAGGAGTAAATGTATCGTCATAAAACACTGAACAAATCGTCGTCTACAGCAAGGCTCTCAAACTCAGCTACTGGGTGGCCCTGCGTCGTTTTGTTTCTGTTCCAACCTGGGCAGTTGATTAAGCACACCATTTTCAACATGAGATATTTATGGGATTTTTCCTCAGTTCCTTCACTGTGGATTGCACAAGAGGTTTTCTGTGAGAAACGGGTTTCCCCGATTCATCACCTCAAGGCCTAGTTAGAGGTGTTACAGTTGTGTAACTAATTAGAGCATTAGGCCAGCTGTGTCAAGGAGAATATGGGTTGACCACAAACCAGAAGACACCAGGCTCTCCAGAAGGTCTGAGTCACCTGATCTACAATGAAGTGTCTTTGTTGCTGCACTTTCAGCCAGTGATCCCACTGAGAAAGAAAAATTCAAAGCGTACACCAAAATGCTCTTCGCTGAGGGAAGTGTCTCTCAGTCCTGGTCCTGGGCTATATACTCTGTACCTGCTGCCTTGTGTTCCCAGTTGGGCCCTTAAGCATTGGGGCAAAGGGTTCTGTACCAGACCTGATTGCCCAGTTAGACTTTTTTTTCCCTGCACTCCTTGGTTTCAAATATAGCCTGAAGTGCTTTATTTCCAGTACCTTCAGCCTAGCGGTCTCTGTTCAGCTTGATAATGAAAAAGATCCTCCCTTATTTCTGGCTAAACAGCTCTTAATGAAAGATGAACAGGCACTCCCACAGTGAGTCAGTGGTTTTTTTCCTTCTGATTAAGTCCAGCTGCTAATATTTCTGCCTGCTCACCTGAATGAGGACAATCCGGAAACTGGTTAGCATAGGGTTCATGCTAATTCCACTTCTAATTTAGATTTTTAAGAGCTAAATGTAAATTTGAAAAAAATGGCCTGAAACAGGAGTTTAAAATAAATTAGCAGTGGTGCTTAAAGGCTCAGCTGGAACAAACCCCCCAGCAGACGTATTACCCCAGGACTGAGAACTACTGGCTCAGGATCTTATTTTTTAATGCAGTCGGTCCTCTTGTCAGCTGTATAGTCAAACTTTCTAAACAGGGTCTTGAAGGAAAGCATCCTTCACAAAGCCCTGAACATTAATAACTCAAGTACCAATATAGAGCACAGATCTAACAGCTCATAATGTGAATACGTTTTAATGTTTTTTACATTGATCATCCAGTTAAATGTGTGGATTGTAACCTTTAGGATGGTTAATTGAATGGATTACAACTTGTTATTGCGAAGTATTGGAGGATGAGCATTAACCAATCCATCAATTTCAAACATCCAAACATCCATCTGTAGCATATGGCACTGTGCACATTACTGTTTCTTCCAGAACGGAGCTTAGAAATCTAATTTTTGTGAAATTCCCACCCTATTTTTCTCTCTGAACTTTTCAGTGGCGTTTTTGCTTACTTGTTGATAAAATTGCACAATTATGAAAAATAGCCCCTCTCAATTGGCATCTTTGGGATCTAGAACAGATTTGACTCCACTCTGCCTGGTCTCAAGTCAGTCTGATCTGATGTAATCGTGGTCAAGAAGGGTTTATTTAGTTTTTAGATACTGGACACCCCAATTTTAACTGAATTCACTACAGTCCACTGGTAAATTTATTCTAATGGAACCTCGTGGGAAAACTAGAGCACAGCTTGTAGGTGTAGCATGAAATCTGAATAAGTGGAGAATCTTTTTTTTTTTTTTAAATGAGAAAGGTGCCATTTATTCCAAAGTGTAATCTGCGCTACAGAATGTGCAGCGCTACCAGTCCCTAAAACCGAGAGACCGTGTAAACATGGGAGCAGCTGTTACTGCTACTGGGTCATTAAACGCGCCCATTAAGTAATATTCTTCGTAAATTCGCACGGCGCTTCAGGGAATGGCTCTGATGGCTTTGCTTTAAGTTCAACGCTAAATAAGGTCAGCACTCAGGGAGAACACGGCAGGTTTTCAAAGTGGCACCACCTACCATGGCATCGCAAAGACCTACGTAGCTACCTACCTATCAGGACAAAGATGAAATTACAACCGACATACCGCTGCTGTACAGAGGTCACAGCACAACTACACTGGCGCGCCAGCCGTCGTTCGGAGGCACGTAAACAAAAACAAACAAAAAAAGTCATGGTTCATTTGCAGATACCCACCCAATGAGACATCACTGCACCATACCACGGATCAGACGCAAGTTTGTTTTCGGATTTACACCCGCTCCCCTCCCCACCCCGTGGACACCCCCGCCGTCTAGTAGGTGGGCACCTGGTAGCTCTTGGCGTTGGTGGCCAGGTTCTCGGTGAAAGGGGGGCTCTGGTAGGTGTCCGTCGTCTCGATGCCGCTGCCAGTGGGGTAGCCGGGGTACGGCTGGACAGTGGGGGTGCCGTCGACGGGATCCGTAGCGAACAGCGACATGTCTGTGCCTAGCCGGTATCTCTGTACCGCCTTCACAGTCAGGCCAGCCTTGAACAGGATTAATAGTGTTAGCATCCCGGGACACCAGATAAGAGCAGCCACACAGATGTGAAGTCCTGAATGTTGTATCTGTGGGCAGCAATCGCGGAATCACTAGAACTACATTGCGCTGGAACGCATCCTATTTGTTTATTGTTATTCGGTAATTCTGCTACATTTTGTTAGATTTACTAATGTGAGCGTTTTCTTTCATGAACTGGCAATGGCACTATTTGGTTTAATAGTCAAACTACTTTGTTTCACAGTTAAAAAAAAACAACAACTGACAAGCAGCAGGGCTTGATTCCGTCAGCCCCTATTGAAGAGTGCTGTCGTCAGCTGTGCCGCGGGGAGGAACAAGGGCTTTCAAGTTTGACTCCACCCTTTAATTTCACTGCGTGGATATTTGTACATCTTGTTAAGCCTCCCGCCCAGCAGTAAGAAGGTTCTGTAAAGGGGCAGTAGGTGGTGTCTGGCAACTAATGGAGTCCGGAACAATACTGTACAGTATGTCTGCCTGCAGGCTGTTATTCAGTCTTTAATGTTAATAGAAGCATTTATCAGGACTTCAGCATCTATTCCAGTGACCGTCTTCATCTGTTTTTTTTTTTGTTAGTATGTCATGCGGTTTCAAAATTGAATCAAAAGAAAACAGTTGCTTTAAAAATAGAGGGACATGCCTGTGGCAAATAAACAGTGGTCTTCACTGAGAACTGTTCGTATAATACACAGACCATATGAAACGTGTGCCTTTAACAAATGAATATACAAGGTATATTCTAAAATGTTGGAGAAGGCCATTTGATTATGAAACGAAAATAGAATCTATATTAATTCTAGAATATACAATATATTAAGCCCTTCTTGTGACATCTAAAGCATTTTCATTATTTCTTTAGCTGAGTACTTTCCTCATTTCTTTATTCTTACATAGAAAGTAAGTCTGAGGTCTTGAGTAGGATCGATACCCTGATATGTGGTGTGGTTTGTCTTTGAAGCACCACTCCAATTACAGAAACAGAGCACATTTTCTTCATTTAAAGTTTTGTTTTACATTGGCTTCAGTACATTAGATGTATTTTAGGTGTCTGAAATACAATTTTTTGTCTCTTACAGAGGCTGTTGGAAGACTAAACGATTAGTATTTAGTGCCAGGCTCTGGTGACTCGCTGATTGACGTTTCATTGGCATGACCAACATAATGAAGAAAGATTTTCTCTCAGAGGCTGATAGTCTCAGCAGACTGTTCTGCAGGACTTTCACACTGACTGTGTGGCTCATCTGCCAGCATGGTCAGAATTATTTTTGAACTATTGTACAAGCCAGCTATTCAGACTGAGACCATTGGTGCTTCAGACTGCATTGTGCATTGAGTCACCCTGAAGCAGAAAAATACAGAATAAACCAGATGTGAGGTGAAATGAAGTGATGTGTCCTTCAATAGCAAAGGTGAGCCACTTTCAAAGATGTTCTGGCTATATAAAAAGAATACTACCGCTCTCGAACAAAAAAAGAAATGAAACAAAAGGATGTAATAAATTATTAGTGAATGGATTTTTTCCAAGAAAATCTCTTCTAAAAAATACTGCATAGTCTGCCTTAGATCAGGGTTTACCCACACAATGTTATTACACCTGATGAGTCTTGACAGGCACAGTAAAAAACGAAAGCTAATTCTATGTACAGTACCTCTAGGTTTTACAGCCAGACTAATTTAAGTGGGGTGTTGGGGTTAAGACTGCTGCATGCATCTACAACAGAGCTCATGAAATCCTGCCTAATTCATTCATAATTGGACTGATCTGCAGTCAACATACATCTGTTCTGGCTTTTGCTGTAAAGCTGTTGTTAGTTCTGAAGAGGCAAGTCAAACTAGTCATTTATAAAGATCTGCACTGAAGTAATTGGCAGTGTTAGTCCTGGCTGGTTGCCTACACTGGTGATGAAGGGGGAGGAGGAGGGAAGAGTTTCTGGGTGTCTTCCACAAAGGCAACGTGCTTAAATCTGTCCAAGCTTAGGAGACAGAGGTATCCCTGAAATACAAATAGGCAGCCAGTGTTGAGACATATTTTAATAAAAAAAAAACTTGTGTACACACATAGGGACAGCAGATTGTAGATGTCTATTTATACTGCATCTTGTTGGAACAATCAGCCTACTGCTTTCTGTGACGCACAACATGTTCTTTGTCATCCCTATAATGCTTGATCTCTTTGATACCGTTTACTCCAATTACTGGCATTATATACCAGTAATATATAATACCATGACTTGTAGCTGTGAACTGAGGCTGGGAAAAACACAATTGGCATTTCTATAAAACTCAGGTGGATAAAACACTTGCTGTGTCAAGGTGAAGGGCAGAGAACATCTTAAACTAGGTCATGCTTAGTCTACATTCTTTAATCAAACATTACATTAAGCCTATGGTATTTCTCTAACTTGATTAATCTTAGGTGACTTCCTATAGGTCTCTTTACATTTTTCAGAACTAAACCATTTTTGCCATGCAGTTAATCATTATTTTTTACTTTGATTATTTACCGTTAAAAAAATGTCTTTAAAAAAAACAGATTCATACGTCAAGAACTTGTTACCAGTTAACGTTTCGGGTTACAATGATTAACTTTAGAGCTTTCTCAACATTAGCCTTTGTTTTTGTCTTGTGACTCATCACACGGACTGACTCTTTAAAACTCGACTCGGCCATGACACACGGGTGTTGTGGAGCATTTCAAACAAGTGAGCAGAGGTGCACTGTCCGCTACAGTAGAGATACTATGCAAGACAGAAGAACTAGGCAGCTGAAGAATTTGCTTTTCTCTGAGTGCCGATCTGTTCTTAAAAGATGTTGAACCAACTGCTGTATCACCTACGGAGGCTGGGAGTTTCGTTTTTTCCATTTCTCTCCTATCAGGTCCTTTCAAGTCAATGGCTGTATTCTAAGAAGGTTTAGTAAAACTGCATAATGCAACATGGTGATGAAGTTCAGGAGGAGTCAAATTCTAATTTCTGAGCGAATCTGTCCTAGCTGCACTCCCTCCTCCCCAACTTCACCCTTTCAGCTGCCTCACTGGTTCATTCCTCATATGCGAGAGGGAGATGTGACGGCTCCAACTTTCCCCTATCGTAATTTCAGCCAGGAGAGTTAACGCCAGAGTCTGCTGTCTCTTTATATTCATTGCCTCGTTTCTTGTAGTCAGAACTGGACCGACCTGCTGAGTTAGACACGATGGCAGCGATGCTCGGGAGATCTGTGGTTAACGGAGAAGAATACGCACCCAGGTGAGGATGGAGAAGAAGGAGAAGGCCACCGCGGCTCTCGCAGCGTCTGCTCCCTGGTTGAGAGGAAGCTCTTTGGGAGAAGTGCGCTGCCACTGGTTGGCCAGGAAGCAGAAGCCCACGAACCACAGGAACGTCCAAAAACCTGACGGGGAAGCAAGCTGATCAAAATGCACCAGACTCCGTTTGCAAACTTTCCCATGGAGATCTGCCTAAACCAGTAAGTGGTTTTTGCATTCAAAGAATCTGGACTGTAGGTATGTTTGTCAAAAACCGTGCAAGCATACCTGTGTGCCAATTCTGCGGACCACCACGGTAGAAATAATAGTGACAGCCATGTTACAGCATAATCAATGCTCTCAAATCAATCAACTCATATTGGGGCAGAAGCATTAGTAAAATAAAACAAAAAATAGAGACCTCTGTTTTAAAAAAGGGATGCTTGGGCTGCTGTAGCAGCACATGCTTAATCACCTGTCAACACATTAATACAAATCTGGGCTGGAGCATGTCCCCTCCTGATCAATACTCCTACCTCCTATGGTTTTTAACAACATCAAGCCAGTGGTGTCTCTCTTTACCACACAATTCGTCAAGAGCATGACTTTCCACAAAATGTTGCTAATACCAGGCATTGTTAATGCCAAAATAAATCCTGCAGCAGCAACAACTAAATAACAAGTAGAAACAAATGTGATCACTCAGCACAGCCTAAGATAAAAGGATCTTTGAACAGCTTTACAACACAGGATACTTATGGTATCTATACTAATAAAATGAACACGTTTTGTAAATATCTTGAAATGCTTTCTGTTTTAATCTGAGATGTTCTGTGCAGGGACTATGAATTCAGATATTCTGTTGTGAACCATTTACGTGCAGAAAAAAAAGTTGTGTTTGCAAGTTTCTGTATTCATCAGCTAGTGGTAGATTTCTCATTTGTCTGCAACACTGACTACATGGGAACTTTTCTCAAAGCTGGAATTCTGGGAAATGTACAGTATATAGCATGACAAAGGAGGAAATAATACAGTATAATCTGTCGGAATCAAGGGTATTTAGAACATAATCCTTTTTTGTTGCTCTTGATAAAAGAGACATGGTTACCTGATGTGTGCTGCTTTGTTTTCCTATCTTCATTTTTAAAGCATGACGTGATCAAGCTCAAAAGTCTTTGTAAATACTAATATTTTATCATGTTCCCCCCCCCCCTCTTTTAGTCCTGCAATTCATCTTCTGGCACCTGTTCAATATTAAAATCTGTAAGCAAAAAAATCTGTTTGCACAAGAGATAGTTTTTGTTATAAAAAGTTGCAGTGATAGTAGAGGAAGGGACTATCCAAGCAAATCAACCCGGATTCCAGGATTCCATCAGGAAAGGCACAGGTTCAGCGCATGGGTTGAACCCTGTAGTTTAGGTATCTCTATGTCATTAGGAACCTTTGATGCACAGTTTACAGAGTGATGCTGCTGTGTAGGGCACTGTGGGATGTGTAGCATACCACAGACTGAGCAGCTGAACTCCAGCTGACAGAGGAGAGTATTTTGAAAGCCCCTTTTCTTGCTACTGCAAGGGTGTGGGTAGCAAGCTAGTTAATTAACAGTTTGGCAATTCCAAATCAGGAGGGCGTAAGTTGAAAAATAAAAGAATACAGTTACAGTGGCTGTATACATGTAAACATAAACAGGGGCCTCAAGGTTTTCTTGACGAACTGCAACTAAAAGAGGATTTAGCATGAAAGTTTTGTGTGTGTGTGGATTCAGTATTTTTAATCAACATTATAGATTAAGAAGGAAAGACCTGTGAAACTTTAAACATTGTTTGTATAAGAAAACATCAAATCAACATGTATACTGTGAATTTTTAAAAGCATGATACCAAACAATATTTGTATACTTGCAATCAGAACTAAAGCTTCCTTTGTCTCTAATACCCTAATCTTTTAATAGCTTCTGAATTTTCTAATGAGGGATGTTTGATCACTCCGCCATGTACAACTTACACTGCCAGTGCTTGGGATCTGCTTTTTTCAGCTCATACCGTTAAAAACACTATGACAACCAATGATGCACCGGTTTTCGATGCACTCTAATCATATGGGTGTTGGGGTTGATTCAGGCATTGTATTGGCTGTCCTATTGTAAAGTCCATTTGTGTCCAAATGGTACATCTTGACAGAAGGCACCAGTTCATGGCTAAAACATCCAAGTAAAATGGAATCTATCTGTCCTTCACGTCTAACTGGAAGAGCAAGACAGCCCTAAAGCAGAGGTTCACCTTTGCCAATCAAGCTTCTGGTGAGACTGGGCAGATTGACACTTGTTTTATTCCAGTTTGACTTGGGAATCAATTTGCTGCTAATTAATGTCTTTTCTTTTGATGCTGCCATGGAACGCTTCCACAAACCCCCGATTCAGAAGGATCCCCTTGAATGGTATATTGGGAACTCAAGGTATGAGCCTTGACCTGCATGACTATGGCCACCACAGTCAAAACTGTGATGTCTTCTGGTCAGTGGAATTCCTGAGCTTGACTTTGTCTTTGAACAATTCTCTGACTTCCTCCATGATGACATGACACTGGGTGTCCTTTAACACCTAGAAGGTGACTTCCAGAATCTTCTTTAAACTTTGTGTGGCTTTTGCGAAATGGCCACATGACTAAAAAAATGTAGACACTTAAATTTATTTTAAACATGGTTATGAGATATGAATCAATCTGAACATGGTGTAAATAAAAACATATGTCAAGTTTTTTAAACAATGCAATAGATAAACTCAGGCTGTCATTCATACCTTTGGATCACAAATTCAGAAATGATGGACAATCTCGATGCCTACTATTTTACTCTTCTAAATCAACTTTCAGTTGCAGTTCCAGAAGGATATGATTAACTTTTGTAGGCTTTTGTATATCCACGCAGGCACAGTGGTCCAGTGGTTAGTACTGTTGCCTTGCAGAGCTGGGGCCCTGGGTTCAAGTACTGTGTGGAGTTTGTATGTTTTTCCCTCTGTCCATGTGGGTTTCCTCCCACAATCCAAAGACAGCCTAGTAGGTTGATCAGCTTCTGGGATAATTGGCCCTGGTGTGAGTGTGTGGGTGTCTGTGTCTGTGTGTGGACTGCAATGGACTGGCGTCCTGTCCAGGGTGTATCCTGCCTTTTGCCCATTGCTTGCTGGGATAGGCTCCAGCTCCCCCACAACCCTGCATTGGATAAAGAGGTTGGAAAATGGATGAATGTATACCCGCACACTTTGGATTTTGTCGTGCTTTGTCATTAACTGAATGCAAATAAGCCAGCATCTTTTACTTTCCCAAAGCACAAAAGGATGGCGTACGCTTCCAATTTCTTTTTATTCAGGCAGAGGCCTTGATGGCATCCTGAGCAGCGATTTCAGGGTAAGTGTTAGGCTATAAAAGCACACCTCCTGGAAGTGTGATGCATGAAAACAAAGAATCAAATGCTATAGTTTGTTGTGTGTGATTGAGGATTTCTCTCTTGAGCGTACCCACAAATTTGCTTTTCGGGGTGCTCGTTTCCCATTTGGATACGAGGCGCAGCAGATGCATCCAGCTCAGCTGAATTTCAAGACCCTCTTTTCTACACAGTTTCGCACGGCAGTGCCCATTACCTGAAAACCCCATCTCCAGAAGGACGGCCCGCTTCCGGTCCTTCACACTGCTGATCTGAGGGAAATAAATGTCCAAGACGAAGAAAAAGATGCTGGCGAAAAATGCCATGACCCCGATGGTAATCCCATAGCTGCAGGCGTCGTCGTTCTTGTTGAAAATACAGTACAGTTTCTCGCTGCCGCTGTTGATGTAGCCCTCGTTCACTATGGAACCAAACACCACAATGGAGAAAATCTGCAGGGAGAGAAAAGGATTGGTACTCAGTGCCAGAAAGAATGAGGTATTGAATGAGAATTGTAGTAGTTCAGGTGGGGAGCTGCGTCAGCATGCGTAGGCTGCAAAAGGAACAAGTAATAGGTTTATTCCAGGCTGAAAAAAAAGAAGAAAGAAAACACAACGTTTCGGCCGTGGAGCCTCTCTCACACCTGAAGAAGGCTCCATTGCCGAAACGTTGTGTTTTCTTTCTTCTTTTTTTCAGCATGGAATAAACTATTACTTATTCCCTTAAATGAGAATTGTACACTACAATCTTTTAATTAATTCCAAAAATAAGTCCAACCATTGCCAGCCTTTCCCTTCGCGTTGATGAGGCTGATCTCGTCTCTGTGCTGCATTGTACCATGCAAGTGTGGAATGTCTGACCTCATCTTCCCCTTTTGACTAAATGTGAAGCTGAAGCTGATGTTGTCTTCATCTGTTTCCTTCACTGAAACTGTTTTGTTTGTACTTGGTGTTCCGTTCACTGAAAAGCCACGAGAAGTTTGCACTCCTCAGAGAACACTTTATGTTGATAGTCATTTTTCCTCTTTAGGCCAAGAGGAGTTCTAAAAACGAACATCAAAGGACAAGAAGACTGGAATTGGTGATATGCATGAGCTCATCTAGGTCAGTGCTAACTGCCTGCTCCTTAGGTCAAGAAATACATGCTGACAGGCAGGCACAGACTGTTACACACACACATCAGTTCAGTGGATCAAGGCACTGGTATAATATCTACATTGTAACACCATATGTTTCCCTGCTAATGAACAGGTGCTCTTAATCCTTTCTCGAGATTGTGCTCTTCTGAATGCGTAGGAGCTTCCCTGTTACTTAAAGTTTGTGCAAAGGAACAAACAGAAGTTAATGAGGAACAAGTAAAGGTTAGTTCCCTGCAGAGAGGAGAAGAAAAACACAACGTTTCGCCTGTGGAGCCTTCTCCAGGCCAAAACATTGTGTTTTTCTTCCATTTTCAGCAGGGAAGAAACCTTTACTTGTTCCTTTGCGGCCTACGCATACTGACACAGCTCCCTGCTTGAACTCCTAACAGAGGTTAATTGCACACTGAAAAACAGAAGGGAAAAAACACAGCATGTTTGGCTAGGGAGGCTTCTTCAAGTGTCAAAAGTGTTTGCACGCACACAGATAAGTGTGGGCTTTCCCTTTGGGTTGTATTTGCACTGTTTTCCCAAAACCTTTATTTTTCTCTGAGTCATAATATTTCCCAGGTTTACCTATCCATTATTCTGGCAGAATAATTTTACTTACACATGGCCTGACATATCTACCTCGCTTTCTCTTTGGGGGCTGGAGCTCTGCCTCGAAATTCCTAAAGTGATTGAGTAACAGGAAGACTTTAAAATGTTTGAATTCACACCAGGCCATGAATGGTTTCGGAATGATGGTTACCGAAACGCCAGCTGCAGATTAAGACCATTTAGAATCTTTGTGACAAATCTGGAGAACCTAAGCAAGCCTAATCAACGAGCTCTGTGGAATACGGTGCTTTGTGTGTACTGCGTGTGCAAATATTTGCTTAAAAACATCAAAAGGGACCTTAATACGTTTTGCCTTCTCTGGCCTGCCATGCTCTGTGTTTGTACAAATGAGATTATCTGTTAAGACAGTTGCAAAAGTAATAGAAATCTCAGAGCACCAACAAATCTGACATTTTTTTCTTGAAATGTCACATAGTTGATTCTTTTCTTATATAACACCTTGAATAGACACAGTTAAAATTCTTCCATGTTCTAAACCTGACATTTGTGATATCTGAAATCCCCATTAGTTGAAATGACAGGTTGGGGATCTAAAGCAAATATATTTTTTTCTCACAACTGAACAACATAATCAGTTGGCGCTCCGATAAGATCAAAAGTGCTACCACCAGTCTGTATGATGGAGGACAAATATTGAAGAGTTACCAGACAAATACCCAACTGTTTTTAAATACTTTAACAGAATTCTTTTGTAGTCTGCAACAAGCAAATTAAAGAACTGCAACAAATTGATGATCGGTGCAAATCTCGATATTGTATTTATGAATTCTATAGCACTGATGGAGACAAAACATTGGAACAATTGACAACTGAAATCAAGATTCTGTAGCTTCTCCACTAATTGAAAATTATACCTAATGGTTGCTGTGTATTTGCCAGTGATATCTTAGCTCGGCCTCATCCAAGCCTAGATTTTATCCAAGTACCCTCATGTTATTCCCAACTGACTGGGTGGATTCAAGTTTTCTTTTCACTTGGGCTCTAGTTCCAGTTAAGTGCATGAATGTTTTCAGACTGGGGGATTCCAGTGTTGATGTGTGAGCTCAATCTCACACCAACATGCTGCCTGTCTTAAGCAATTCGCAGGAGATATACAGGACTAGAGCAGTGGGCTCTCCTGACCACTGCTCTTGGCTGAGATTTATCCTGTCTTCTGTTTGGTAAAGTAAAAGGTGCATCTCCAGGGCCAGACGTGCCACAGATCTTAATGATTACAGCTACGGGGCACGTACACTCTGATCTGTAGAGGGCCTAAACACATTAGATGATAAAAGAACTTCTGTAGGCTGATTAATTGTATGTTAATCCAGTAAATGGCTTACATTAGGTACAGTACATCGAAAAGGGCACTTGAGAAAATGCTTGCATTTACACAATACAGAAAAAAATGAGTTAAAACATTCTGGTAATATGTAACCAAAAATAAGGAAAAATCATGAACATTAACTCCTGAATTATTGATTGAGTTTAAATTAAAAGAGCATTAATTCAAGTATGCTTCTAGAACATCTTACTGGTGTTCAGGCTGATGGCATGAATTGTACAGAAGCATTAGGAAGCTGAAAGGAAAGGGAACAACAGGCCACAACTTATTGCATTTAGGGATAGCATAATCAAATATTTTTATAAGTATGGCAATCTGAAATTGCCAGCTGTCTTTATGCCTTCAAGTCCAACCTTCCAGTCATTCATCTACTACCACTAAGAGATAAGTGGTAAAAACCGAGAACAGGGGGGCACGTTTTACACAAAGGGTGGTGGGAGTGGGGAACAAGCAACCCAGTAGTGTTGTTGAAGCCAGTATCTTTGTATCAGTTGACTATTTGCTACCATATCATCTAGATGGGCCCAATGGCCTGCTCTTGCTTTTAATGTATTTATACATGGGGGTCTTCACGTCATTCAATTTTGGTGTAATAAGACAACAGTTAATGTGGAAGCAGTATGCTACCGGATTATTAGACATGATACAAAAGGCGATTACGACATTTGTTTCAAATTACGTAATTGGTGATACATTGTAAAATTTCCTTTAATCTTCCCAATGCTGATATATAATGTTTACCGTCAAACAATACCAGTACGTAAGCAGGCACAGCTGAATATATTTAAATTTGGTAATTCAGTTAGTTGGTTTATATGTGGAGCTCAGCTTAAGCTTGGCTGACCCAGCGAAGACACCCTACAGAGGGCATTTTTACAGCGATGACTGGTACTGTTATCACTGGTTTAATTTTATTACGTTTTTTTTCTTTTACTTGTAGTAAATTAAACTGGGGGGGGGAGTCACAAAAGGAGATCCGGGAAATGCTGTCTGAAGATGGCATCAAACAGGAAAGGTGCTATTTATAGGCGTGGAACACCGTCAAATGACGTGACTGAGCTGGCATCTCGGTCGCCATGGAAACAGCAGGAAAGGCTGTGGTGATCAGAATGGTTTCCTGCAAAGATGGTGGGGGGGTAGGGGGGGTGGATGAATGATCAGATCAGCAAAGCGCTTCATCAAGCTGTTCCATCTCACGCAAAGCCTGCTGGCACGACTCTCAGAGCAAAAGACTCAAAGAGGAAGAGGAACCAAGGTTGGGAATAAGAAATGTATATCATTACAAATCTTGGCCGTTCCAGTCATATAACTGGGTCTTTGCAGTAGGAAACCCCTGCCTGGATGGAAGAATCCTACAACCCACTGAAGGCCCTGCAGGAGCCTCATTTGCTACCAGCTACCCCGGGGGACAATTTGCATAATGATTAAAGTGACACAACGAGAGACTGGTTGTGCAGCTGTCTGCAATAAAACCTTTGTCAAATCCCCAGCCTGCCTAGACGGCTGGACGTATGACTGGGTGGCTTGCTCCCAGTTATTTCTCGCACCTCTGCCCCAGGAGACGCCAGCTCCGCAATCTGCGAGCCTCCCATCATTCAGACAGTCTTTAACCTGACCCTCCCGAACACTGCAGTGGAATTCCATTCCACATTATCTAGGTATTCGAAGCGTAAAAGTCATTCTGTCTTATGCTATGGAACAATACAAAGTATCTCAGCTATTCTGACCACCCACATGGTCTGAGTACTTGCTGCTATCTTCTACTAGCATAATCCAAAGGGCACCGCGTGCCCATTACCACAGGGACTAAATGCCAATGAGTCTGTGCTCTGGGGAAAGACTGTTAGCCATGCCTTTATATTTCCAACATTACTATAATCAAGACTGTATTTCTGTTCAGAAGGCTTTCTGAAGACCGCCAGTGGGAACAATATTCCTGGGGAATATCCAGGTGAATGGTTGGTCTACTACAGCCCTAATGCACTTATGGTTTCACAAAAAAAAAAATCTCACAAGAAAAGGATTAAACAAAAGGGTTGCTTTTTGCTGCATATTGTATTGTGTTTGTTTACCAGACATGTTAAGTAAGATAAAGGCCACAGGTATACTGCAGATATATTGTGCATGAAATTCTGTAATCTATTAAATCTGACCATATGTGATTTGGTCAAAACCTCCTCCTGGAGTGAAAATTGGACACACCTGGCTTGATTGCCTAATTAGTGTCCTGTGGAATGAAATTCCACAAGTGAAAACGGGCTCATTTGATTGGCCCTGTGAGCTACAGAACATTCCACAGAATTAGCAAACAGGGTATATCAGCAGTCAGGTGGCTCCAGAGGAGGTCTTTGTCTTAGCTTCTGCAGTTCAGTGAAGGGGTGGGAGTGGTAATATTGGCTGGGGGTGAGTTTACATAGTACAGGAGTAGTCTCAGTAGATAGACTTGATATTGGTTAAGAAGGTTATAGAAAAGCTTGTAAGGATCTTTCTGCTTAAGGCATTATCAATGAAAGAAGGATAAAGAGTGGAACAAAGCTGTTTTCTTGGGTGTATATATTGTGGGAACTAGGCTTGAAACTCTAATTTGGTTTAGGTATGCTAGAAAATCTCTGAAGACCTGGAACTTTTAACTGGAAGATTCATGTGGAGCCTGACTGTAAATGTATAAGCCAGGTTGGGTGTCTGTGTCCCAGAACAGGAAAATGAAGGAACTTGTTTCTTTTTTTAGTGGAGTTTTGGAGTCTTGAAGAGGAGTTCACCTGTTCTGTCCTTCCTGACAATCAAACTGCTGATTTGATCAGCAGGAGAGGAAGAGGAACTAGAGCGACTCTGCAAATTATAACCCCTGAGGAATGGACTGGTCTAAAATGATGGCTCACCTACATGTGCAAGTATAGCCTGGTGACATGGTGGCTCCTGACTACATGTGGTCTGGTGAGTGTCAACTCCCAGTCTACACTATAGCTTCTTTCAGATGCTGGCTGTCTGCTTTTAAAGTGTGCTGCATGTCAGACTTGGTCATCTCAAAAACAGTTTAGCTAAGGCTCAAACTCTGGCCTCTTGAGAAAAATCACTGGATAAAATTACTTCCACACTTATTAAACAGCTGGAGGGCCCAAATGGCCTCTTGTTTAGTGTTTTGTTCTTAGGATGGGTATTTATGTAGCCTGTCCTTCCCTTAAAGTTAAAGGGGAAAATTAGGGACATTACCCATATAAATAGCCTCTCTCTCTGTGTTATTGATGTAGTTGTTGCTGAGTCATTAAGGAGATGACTAGGGTCTCCCCATACAGGATCAGGTCCTGTTGACAATGGTAGCACCTGCCTTGCCTGTTCCAGGCTCTTGAAACAAGATACTGTGGCATTTTGAAGCCAATACCTTGGCTTCTCTCAATAAGTAACCGAGATCCTTAGATCAATAAGTAACTAACTACCAAACAGGCTAGAGGGCCAAAATGGCCTCCTGTTGTCTGTAACTGCTCTCTCCTTGCTCTCTCAGGCGGAGAGTGACATTGATTTTTATGACTGGTCTTCCTCAAGAGCTCTGCTGAAGAGGGCAATACAGGCAAGCGTTCAGCCCCAGTGTGATTATCAAAGATTCACAACATGAATAGTCTACCCTCAGTAACTCGTGCACACTCCTTAAAAGCCCAGGGGGTGGAAAGCACTAAGCCTTTGGCTGTTAAAAGTCAAGAGTTGGCACAAATACATTTAACAACATATTTAGCATTAGGCCTGCACAGTGCAGTTTTATATCTGCCACACAAACAATTATACATGCAGGACAATGGAAAATGCATATCCTCGATGTATATTGATGTCATCCATTGCTGTGATAAGGTATTGACTGTATATTTGTATTACTTTTTATTGGCTGCATAGATCATCTTGCTCCCCAGGGGAAGGCACTTGTACACAATGCTGAACAAAATCAGACGTACAAAAAGAGGAATCTGACAGCTTGCAGGAATCCTGGCATTGACCAAGAGGAAGGACAGTTACAGGGAGCTGATGTGGGGAGGGGGGAATGGAAGAATTGTCAATACCAGGTGTTCTGACTTGGTGAAATCTTTCTACTGAATACCAAATCTTAATCAATTGCACATTTAGTCTCGAAGCTGATGCAGAGAGACATGGTAGTGTCAGGATTAAACCAAAAATGCAATGAAGCCAACACAAAGGAGGACAATTAAAACTGGCCCTTCAAGGTTGAAGCAGTGGCTCTGTGCCCAAGGATCTGCGCCTGTGGCTGGAAGGTTGCCGGTTCAAATCCTGTGGCCGGCAGAGGAATCCTACTCTGTTGGGTCCCTGAGCAAGGCCCTTAACCCCAGCTGCTCCAGGGGTGCTGTATAAATGGCTGACCCTGCACTCAGACCCCAAGCTTCTCTCTCTCCCCGTCTGTGTGTCTTGCAGAGAGCAAGCTGGGGTATGTGGAAAGACAAATTCCTAATGCAAGAAATTGTATATGGCCAATAAAGTGATCTTATCTTAAACCTGGAACCACCGGTTCCTGCTATACAGTGGCAAATTGATACCTTCTTCATCACAATCTATCCCAATATGCTGAGGTGGACAGAAGGAGAATTCACTTGAGGAAGCACATCCATTTTTTTTCCATGGAGATGCAAGCTTGAAGATAACTGGGGAAAATGTGGTCATATGTTCAAATCCCCATCTTCCTGTTCAGAAGAGTTGGTGGTTAAGACGTGGAAAGAGGAAAAAGGCCCCATACCGGTGTATCTGAACTGCTTCACCAGTGGCGGGATGAGAGGTAGGCCCTTTTTCTCCATTGTAAAAGTTAATGACCGAGAAGTACGCTTGGACCAATTCATTTTAATCCTGGATCTGTTGCCAAAATAAAGTCCGCAGATGAGGCAGGGTTTGGGAGATGCTGCTTTTAGCCGTCGAACATCAGCATAGAGCAACATGCGTTCATTCTGAACTGTTAATGGGTTTAATGAGTGGTCTGAGCAGCTCCAACAACCAGGCAAACTGCATACTGTAGGTGAAACTGGGCATCTCTGACAAGTGCCCTTAGGCAGGGAAACTGTTTAGGAAACCTGTTACCAGCTATTACTGATACTAGTTCAAGTAGGTGGCTGCGTCAGCATGCATAGGCTGCAGAGGAATAAGGAAAGGTTTATTCCATGCTGAAAAGAGGGGGAAGAGATACCCGAAGAAGGCTCCACAGCCAAAAACATTGTTTCTACTCTTTTCAGCATGGAATAAACCTTTACTTGTTCCATTACTGAAGTTACTAAAAGCTGATTGAAAAATGTTTGATTTTTGCTGTAATTTGGCACCAAAACAATTAATTTGAGATGTACAATGCTGTTCATGTATGAAAATGCACGTGAATGTATAGAAATTCTAAAGTTAAAAAGAAAACTGTTACATAGTGGATAGTTTTTTCTTTGTATCATTTAGCATTCTGAATGTATGTGTGTGGGCATGTGTTACTATCAAAGCTATAACAATCCAAGAACATGTCTCCAGAGATGGCCAACCCTGCCAAACAGTTGAGGATGTGGAGATCCCCATGATGTGCACAAACCAGATTTTATCTTCTCTTAAATCCAAACACGTCACAAACTGAGGGTTTTTTTCACCCTGTTTGAAGTTCAGAGTACTGAACAGAAATCGTCACTGTGACGCTTCACTAACATGGGAATACAAGCAAGCATCTGGTGAGATGACAGGACTTCTGTGCAATCTGTGTTTCCTAAAAGTCATTTTTCCTAAAAGTCATTTTCCAGTACAGTTCTAGTACAGCATGTTTCTGATGTACAAACAACAAACCCTGGGCAAATCTTAAACTTTAAAAGTCCTACAAGCAAACGGCCAAGTAACCTGGACATCCCTCATATGAGTCAGTTCCTTAGCTTGTTGTCTCTCACACCGTGAAATTCAGTTTGGGGACAATTTATGCATTTATACAAAATGCATCTCTTAGTAGAATGTTTTGTTGGGTTACAAACATGATTCTGCCTCCGTCTCTGGGCCTCAGAAGGTGCTAGCGATTTCCAATTCAATAGCCCTCATTTTTCAGCATGTGACCACAAGGAGTGAGGGAGCTGAGGAGACGGTGATATTTTCTCGGCACCCGCAAAACCGACACGGAATCGCCTGAAACTACTTTAGAGGTAGCTAATATGATGGCAACAACATTGATGCTTTTCCGAAAAACGCCAGAACTCTATCAGTGCGGATATTAGATTTTGACCACGTCTTAATCATTCTTCCCATTTGCACAGCATTTATGCAAGAGTTTCTAGTGTTTGAGCAGTGCCTTAATGGTTTTATTGTGCGGTTGAGCAGCTATTCAAAAACCGAAAGGTACGTACTGTGCGCACGACCACTACATAGACAAAATTCTGGTTAAGCACTTGTGATTGAAGAAAATTCAACATTTGTAAATATATACTATATCTGGAGCTTTCATAGCTTATTTCTTATAATAAAATCTTCTGTTATAGCTGGAGCTTTAAATGTATCCTATTAACTTAATTGGGTTTCTTAGTCCGTTTTGGGGAAATAACTTCATGGTCCCATTTTCATCTATGTAGTTGCTGCGTGGAACAAAACAGTCACTTGGGACTCTGCAAGCCCTACATTTTGGCAGGTAAAGACTTGCTGTGCCAGGAAGAGGAGACTGGGGTGGGGAAGTGAGCTTGATTTGTCCTTCTCTCTGATATGAAGGTTCACTGAGCTTTCAACACATGGATGCACACCACAAAGTCCTGAATTCAAACCCCCCCTCCGCCTTTCTTTCAGCAGTGTAGAGCAAAGAGCTACTGCACCACTAAATCAGCCTCAAGGCTCGAGCAGCATGACAATGGTATCCATCCCTGCGTCACGGTTCACAGGGAAATCTCTTTCCATGAAGGAGGTTCCATCAGCAGTCGCCCCATTGCACAGGCTGTGCGCTGTATCCTTCCTCAACTCGGAACTCGATTCTGAGAAGTGGTTGTTAGTGTTGTACCATGCAGTATATACATGTATTTACTGTGCTTTCGGAAATGGCAGCATGCCCGGAACCTTTAATTCACTTCACCTAACGGACAGATATGGCAGATGAGGCTGAAGATGATTGCTAATGACCTCCAGACTAGATATTGCTGCTTTCTCCACCCCTTCCCATCTTTATTTGTAAAATAAAGCAAAACTAAATTAATCATTTACAGTATGTGATGTACACACAGCTGCCTTTTATCATTACTCTTTCAATTCGTATTTAGTCTTGGACCCAGGTGATGGATATTTAATATCTAAAGTTCTGATTTCTGAATTTTACTAATTTCAGAAAAATACAAAAACCATATTGGGTGCTGCAGTTAAGCTCTGATATCTTTGAATTTGTTGCTAGGCAGAAACATTTCAGTAACAAAAAAAAAAACACTGTGGAATCTCTAGACATGTGCATCAATTTTCTAACTGCTTTATTCAGGGTCATGAGAGAATTGGAGCCTATCCTGGCAGGATACATCCTGGATGGGATGCCAGTCTATCACAGGGCACACACAGATGTGTACAAACATGCCCTAGGGACCGTTTTCCAGGAAGCCCCTTAACCCACCAGTAGAGCACCCAGAGGAAACCCTCCTCTAACCTGGGAAGAACATACAAACTCCACATAGACAGCAACCCAGGTCCAGAATTGAACCCAGGGCCACAGTGCTGCAAGGCAGAAATATGAACCACTGTGCCAGTGTGCTGCCCTCTCTGGAAATGCATACAACAGTAAAAAGGGAACTTGAGGAAGGCAAGTGGTTGAAACAGACTTTTAGTACAAAGAGGTTGTTTTTGCATGCACTGTTTGGAAAATCCTGAGGGCTAAAATGAATTGTCTCTTTATTCATGAGGTCAGAAAATCTTTGCATGCCGGAAATGTCTAAGATCCATTTTTGAAAGCAGTTTTGTGCATGACTTCATGAGCGTGGCTCGTGGGTTTGTGCTGTGAAATGTCTTGCAGAATCAATTGCTATTTGTTGTGTCTGTAGATGTACTCTTATGTGGCATGAAATGTTTTCTCAGAAAGCATACCATAGGGGGGCTGGGCTTCAAATTTTAATATTGATGGTAAATCATTAATTAAGCTGAAACAGTCCCACTTAATAAATTTGAATATTTACAAACTCATACCAAAGATGCTACAACTGCTATCTTGAGCTCTTCTAGGGAGTTAGTCCTTCTGATTGTAAAAGATTCTAATTACAAAAATGTCTAAAATCAAAGTCTCATCAATTTGATGGACAGGCAAGCACAAGAGTACATTTTATTACTTTCCTTAATTGAAAGGGTTGCACTGTATGGGAATGTTTTTTTTCATTGGAGAAAATAAACCTGCTTTGAGCTTTGGAAACGGATAAATTATCACCTGAAATGTTGAACCAATTGAAGGATCAAATCACAGCCTTCTTGTAGTTCCTTTTATATTCTCACCGAAGAAGGACGGCATTTCAATGGTCACAAATTGGATTTAAGACCATAAATCTGTTACAATCGATCACCTTTTCATTCAGACAGCGAAAGGCAGTTTTAAGTTGTAATTAAATGAGCCAATGAAAACTCTCCTGCACAATGGCAGCAACACAAGGGCAAAAATTCCCCACTTGTCATTCTCTTTCCTGATGTCTTCACTGACTTTTTGGTGAAAAAGTCTCTTGCTATTTCTATTTCCAGAGCAATACTATAGGTAAAGACAACTTTGAGACCGTTTTAAAACGCCTCCAACACGAAATCAAATGTCAAAGCTTGCTTCCATCAGGAGGCTTTGAAAAGAGAAGAAAAATGTACTCGCCCTACGTGTCAGCTTGATTGGCCACAACACAAGAACCACTCTGACAAAATCCTTCATATAGCAGAACTGAGAAGGGTTTTTTTTCTCCTTTGCTCCCCTGATAGTGTACTTTCCCCGTAAGACACATAGGGTATAGAAGTTTATACTACAGTCCAGCACCTTTTGAGTGGAGTGAAAGGGCATTCCTAAGAAGCTTTCATCCATTTAATTAAAAAAACAAGTGGCATGTGTGGCCCTCTGTTGAACAACCATGATTTGCAAACAGTCACTCTTAATGGATTTTTAGTGGAGTGCGACATTCCTATGCTTAAATGTAAATCCCTTTATTGAAACTGAATTAAAAATCAACACAATAGAAATACATTACAAGTTCTTCCTACAACAGCTCTAGAACTGCCTGAACATCTCTTCTTGACCGTTCATAGAGCTCTGCACCTGTCTAAGCAGCAGTACTGGGGCTCTGAGTTTCACCAGGAATATACTGATGACTGGAGTTCTTGTAACAAAGTATAAGGGGAATTCCAGACCACAGATTATGAAACTCCATTCTGACTTTGTATGCACAGAACATCACGGACTGTGCAATATTAACCCCAATGTCTCGACCGACACTGTATGACAAATGTTACATGAAAAATTATCTGGAGTCCAGTATCCTCCAAACACCCCATCCTCCACTATGTCTTTAAAATAATTTTATATGTAATATTCTTTACGTGCATTTATACATTAAAGCTTACACAAGCTGTATTTTGAAGTTATTTAAAGAAAGACTAAATTAAACATCTCATAAAAACATTGCATGGGGTGGGGGACGTGATGATTGTATTTGTGCCCACCTGCTAGAGCTATTTCTACTGCCTTAGAGCTGTCTGCGTCTCAACTGTCAGCAGGCCAAGGAGACTGTTAGCAGCAGTAGTGATGGTCAGTAAGCTGTTCTGCCTTGGTAGTTTCTACCCACAATCGTGTCATGGCAAAGAAAAGTGCAACCGGAAAGTGGTTTTCACTGGGCTGGATCACGCAAGCGAAAATGTTCACTTTCAAAGATTTCTCTCCGTTCAAACACAGTTCTGATAAAGTCCTATACATGCGTGTTGGATGATGCTTGTGTTTTAATTGTGCTTCTTCATCAACTTTTGTTTTGCCCTGGGAGTTGCTCAGTAGGCTATCTAACCACTGAGAATGCCAAGAAGACCAAGGCAAGTCTGTGGCAGTGCAACACCCAATCAAACTTTGCATATACTAGGTACTTTTGTATTGACTAGCTGAGTCTTCCTCTTCTGAGGATCATACATTGTGTGGCAATTTCTTCTGGTCCTACGGCAAATCGTCATGGTTTCAGAGCTCATGTACCAATGGTCCAGATCCTGTTTTGTTTCGGAGTTTAGCCGAGTTACTTCCAGTTTCTGAGTGCCAGATCCTGAGGCCTTTTCTTAACTGTTCGACTCAAAATAAACGTGAGCTTTTGGTACGATTTCACTTGAGTATATGTTTGCGACATTCAAATGGACCTGATTATATGCAACAGTCCTGTACTTATTCTAAAGTAAGGCAGAAACGAGGTAATTGTGTGCTCAGAGACATTCATTCATTAAATATCAAATAAAAAATAATGGAAGGGAAATTATACTTTTATATTACGTTTTGACTCCCAACTATGGGTAACCCGTGTCTGTCACGTTTTAAGACAACTATTTATAAAAAAACGACCAATAAAGATCACAAACGTTTGGAAGCTTTTATTTTTACTTGATCTTGCGGCTCAGGCCAATTGAAACGCCCACTTGTACTTACTCAGGTTTAAATATAGCCTGGAATGTATTTCATCTCGCATTCATGCGAAATCGTAATGTTCATGAACGTAGAACTAAAAGTCTGGCAATTTAGGACTAAAAAACACATAGAAGTAGCCATGCAAAAACGTTACATGCACGAAAGGTAAATCGTGCTGGACATCGTTGGCCACATACAGTAGTAAACCCCCAACAACAGGCGCATCGACTAGGAAGGTGATCGTTAAAACAGCCAATCAAAATTGAAGGGGATGCCGGATTTTTATTTGTATTAATAACTGGAGATTTTGTAAAAAGCTCGAAAAAAAATAAGATAATTAAAATACGATTTATTCTCAAATCTATACGTTTTAGAATAATGTTTTCAATCCTATTTTAGGTACAGAGGCATTTGCACTTTTAATGATCGGTTTCTTCTATGAAGAAGAGCTTTAATATTTAATGGAAAATAAACTTCATAAATAAGACGAAACCCACCCTAAATCGTGCGTAACAAGAAATGACCTGTGTGTACTATATTTCCAACGAGAGAAAACGGCGGATGTCGGCGCACAGGAACGGTTTATTAACATGAAAGGTTTTAAAGCGCCTGGTGCCAACAGAACATAGCCCAGGGAACAGTTCCATTTTAATCTGACCAGCAATATTTGGTTTTATTTAAAAAAAAAAGACAATTTTCCCCCCCAAATACAGTAGCCTTCACTAAATGAGTAAGGTTAAACAGGTGCTCAATGAAAATTGCTTTTGGTTTCAGATTTGAGAAGATGAAAGTACATCAAATACCGATCACAAGAAAATAAAAAAACCTTTCCACTGAATGAAATCAAATACTGTTGCAAATATGCACAGCTATGAAATACAACCCCTTTCTTACCCAAATTAATTTGACTTTTATTAAACGGTTAGATTTTAAAAACAAATTAGATTGATGGATCCTAATAACGGTTATTCATAAACAACTGCATATGGGAAAAAAAAACCCGTGAAGGCTAAAAAGCTTGCTTGTATTTCAGTAGCTAAGGTGTTTCTTTGCTCTCATTCAAGCTGCTAGATGTTAAAGGGGACATTCAAGACAATGAAACCAACGAAAGACAAAACGTATAGCCCTTACCCAGGACAGTATTCTAAGGATTGTCTGTGGCTGTTTGATGAAGGCGACAGGGTCGAAAGCTCCGCCAGCTCTCCCAGCTCCGAAAGACCCCACTCCTTCCATCTTGATTCTCACCGCACCCCAGCCTTATGATGTATGGATCTCAGGCTTCGCCTTCACACAGACGGGTAGGAGCTGCAAGCACACACCCACTGGCGATCAGCGGCGTGCACAAGCCTGGCGAGTCCGCGCACTGGGGGAGAGCCTGTTTAAGCGGCGTTCCTGACTGCAGCGGGTGCAGACTCAGCCTGGGGCTCAATAGCGCTCCTAAGGTAAACAAGCGAAGCCCTCACCCCCCCCCCCGGGAACTGCTTACTCGATGCTCTGCTCGTAGTGCTACTGGCCGCCGGCCTTTAATTAACTCCTAGCTTTCCAAGCGCCGCCCCGATTAACCTGAACGCGCAGGCAGTCACAAGCACACGCACCGGCGGCCGCACAGGGGGGGGGACGGAGGAGCGTCTGCAGTCTCGCTCGCCTCCTCCTCCTCCACCTCCTCCTCACCCGAGTCTCGGGCTGGGAAGGGCATCTCAGCGAGATGTCTCCCCTCCGTCATCCGTGGACCTGCCGCTCTGGTCCCTTCGTAGGCGTACCCCCTGACGGCGATTCTCTTCGCAGCGTTTCCAGCGCCAGCTAACAAAATAAACGCCGTAAACGGGAACCAGGCAGTTTCCTGGGTGCTTTGAAACTAAAAGAAAAAATGCCTACAAGAGTATTATCGGCCTAGCAACGTGTTGGGGGGGGCATCCGTTAGGCTTGTAGATAAGACGAGATGTTATTGCACGGCAGCGCTCAGTATCGTTATACATAGACCCTGACTGAATGCCCGTGAGCAGCACGTTAGTTTGATTACTAAAACCTCTGTACAGTCTGAAAGTCACTGCTTCCCGATCAGGTTTACAGAGAGGGGGACATTAGGTGGAGCCTCCTGCAGTACTACCACGAGAATACTGTACATCGTTCATCTCGCAGCCTTTAGAAGCATCATACTTCTGGAGGCGAGGCGTGTGCGCTCCCAGATTGGAAATGTGTGCTCAAGGCCAGTTCTCTCTCGTGTGGCTCAAGGGAAGTCTTGAAATGAGGGCTGGAAGGACGGTCATAGCGGAATTGTGAAAGACGACCATTTGCTAAGCTCAATGGGAGTTACATTAAGTATGAGGCTGAAATTTCCAGTTCCTAAATATCATTAAACAATATATTTACATATATTGTGCGTGGAGGGGTCTTCATCTTTTTCGCAGGATACTGGTTGTATATTGACAGAAAATTGGATCAGTCTGTGACCTGCAATGCATTCCAAGGAAATGCTTGAACGTTTATTGACTGGCCGATTGATTTTCAGACACGGGGATTCCTGCTGTTAATACTGTAGCTGCGATTGCGTGGAGGTAATGCTTCATTATATATATATATGCCATTAATTACTTAATCATTCTTCATTATTGTTGCATAAAAGCATTCATTCTGTAAACACTCGGTAATTCTGTTGTGAGAGAGTGACAATAAAGTTGAATGAGATGCATATTATGCGCCGTTTTTGATGCATTTGGCTTATGTATGTTCGCGTACGTAATCTATATTTCCATCTCTTCAATGCAATGTGTAGGCGTCATTATTGTAACCCTATAGGGCATTTGGCCTCGCAAACATGAGAATAGATAAGCAAAGGTTTATTCCATGCTGAAAAGAGCAGAAAAAAAAACACGTTGTTTCCTTTCTTCTCTTTTCAGCACGGAATAAACCCTTACATGTTCCTTTGCTGCCTACCCATGCTGATGCAGCTACCTACTTGAGGAGAGAGATCGTGGTTATATACAAGGTTAATATCTGCGCCGAACAGTCTACAAGATTTTAAAACTGTCCTGAAAATAAACTAAATTTAACAGGCAAATTGAGCACTAAAACATGACTAAATTAATATTGTTCTCCGTAATTAAACTGAAGCATGTATATATTTTAATATTAATTGTTACAGTTAGGGTTTCAAATGACGGGTAGATTTAGATGAAACCTTGTTTGCTTTCAAGATCAGGTTCCCTAAATAAGACTAATTTCTTCAACGTTTGTGCAACGTTTCCAGCTCATAGGTATCAAATTTAATTCACACCTGTAGTTTAAAGTTCTGGTTTTCACGAAGGACATAAGAGAACTACACCCTCTATTGGTCAATGGAACTAATACTTCTTGAGTGATTTTGTTCTTTCACAAATTATTCAAAAAGTTAATTGTGTGATTTGGTTTAAAAAGTGTATTTGTAACTCTTAAAGTACTTTGCTTTAAGATTTAAGAGAGGAAAAATACAGAGGACAATGTAATATTTTATTTAGTAACTTTAAGGACAGTTAGTTCCATTTACCACATCAATGCACATTACATATTAGGTTCACATCTAAACTGTACAATTTAAATATAAAACACACAAAAATGTCAATTTTTTTATTTTTAAATACCAAACAGTATATTTCTGAGATGAGGGTATCTGCCATGCTGTAAAAAAATTCATAGTATATTACATAGATCATAGTTCTGTTATGAGGAAACACGGGGAGGGAGCAAAAGGCTTGTTTTAAATTGGACAAGGATATTTGGTGCCGTGTTTCAGAATTCAACATCATTCATCTGGAAACATAAGGTGTATGTTATAGCTGAGAAAACAAATTGCCAACACTGGTGATGTTTCTAAAGCAAAACAGGGACTTAAGATGTGCCTGTTGTGCATTTGAGATTTTTTTTGTAATTGACAGGTTTTATCAATATAATCACTGAAATTCCATGAACAGCATATCCTCAGCCATGACGTCTGCTTCAGTGTTCAGTCTATGGTCCTGCTGCTCAATCTGCCACAGTTGTTAATGTGCTTGTAAGCTTTCCTGGAGAAGGGCGCGGCTGTAATGAAATCTAAGCTCTTATACCGATTATTGAACCCATCCACCAATTTTGTACACAGTTCGTCCAATTCTGGGTAGCAGAGCCTATCCCAGCAAGCAACAGGCACTGGGCAGGATACACCCTGGATGGGACACCAGTCCATCACAGGCCACACACTCATCCACCACAACCAATTTACCTACCAGTATCTCTTTGGACTGTGGGAGTAACCACTGATTCAATACTGAAATACTGATGCACCTACTGGTGTTCTGATGCATGATGAATACATTTCAGCCCAAATTCTTCTCCGTTATGCAAAGATTGTTGTTGTTGTTGTTGTTGTTCAGAGGAAGCTTCATCAGAGAAGCTTGATAAAGGAGGGAAAATTCAGATGTTGCAGGGTGTGGCATTAGCACACCACAGCTGCTAGGGCTGATTAAGGACCCTTAAGACACACCGACTACCTCCCCGTGGGAACTGGGCCGAGAGCGTAAGGTCGCATTTTTCCTTCGTTTTATTTTGTTTTTCTTTTCGCCTGTCCCGCCCTGTACCTCCACCGGGACAAACCGGGTTGAGTTCTCTCGCGCTCCCTTTTTTCCCCAGCCCGGACCCAGTTAGATAGCGTTAATTTGTGGGGTTTTTTTTCGGTTTTCGCTAACCTCACACCGGTGCCTCCGCCTCTTCAGAAGGGGCGTCGACCTTTACCGGCGCTCGCCGCGGCTCCGCCCCCTGCCGCACTGTTACACGGTCTCCATTGGAGACTCTTTCCTCAATGAAACTTTAGAGCTGTCGTCTACTACACAGAACAGTGCTTCAAATCCACAGCCTCTCACAAAATGTCTCACACCCCTAAGGTAATAATGGAAATAAAATCTCCCCCAGGTCCTGTTTAAGTCTAACCTTTTGTCAAGAGAAAATGTATAAAACATAACAGCTCCTGGGGGGATTTTATATTCAGTGCAGAACTGTGAAGTTGGGAGTGGAACAAGAGTTAAGGGACTTAAAATCGCCTGAAAAAGAAAAGAAACACGAGAACATGGCTAATATTTTGCAAACTCATACTCAATGGGACGGGGTTCAAGTACAACCTGTAGTATTCATGAAGCAGAGGTAGACTTGCACATTTCAAGTTAGTAAGTCATTTTCTGAAGCGCACCTTTTGCAGGGAAGTTTATGAGCTGCCCCTGTTGGGTCATAGGGTATTTGCAACTATAAACAAAGATGGGAAAATCATGTTATGTTACAGGAAGAAAGAATACTACATACATGCGTGTGTAAGTTGATCGCTTGATGTACTGTGCTACCATAAGTGACTTGCGTTAAACAGAACAGAAAACCCTTCTATACTGCAGACTATTTGTCAGGAAATGGCTCTGTATCTGCAGAAACAATACCAGAAAACCAACGAAAACACAGCACAGCCATTTTGCACTTTCCACTGGTAATCATATCCTTTGACCTGATAAAGCTGCTGTGCTTTCTCAGGTTTTTAAGTTCTCTCAAGTATCATTAAAGATACTATTGCAGGGTGTTCCCCTGTTCTGTACAGTCACAATCCAGAACTGTTATAAGATTATAGGATTTAAAGACTTCCGTTGAGCCAAAGTAAGAGCATATTGCTATGCTACTACATTGTATGGTAAGTATTTGATCTGAAAACAAAGACACGTATTCAAATACTGGAATTACTTGTCCCAGGGATCAAAATCAGGCATTGAAGAGGTAATTGATTAGCTAAGGTTCATTCGTAATTGCGGATGGTATTAGTGCTTTATTTTTCCCCAATTAACAAGCTAGAACAATTGGTCGTTGCCTTATTTAGAGGAGAAATATTCACTCGTTTGTCAAACGAAAATCGCAGAGAGACGATGTCAAACGGGAAACGGAGACCCGTTTTTCTTTTCACGAGAGCCGGGTCAGCTCACAGGACACAAAAACCAAAGGTCTCGGAGCCGAGGAAGAGAGGGGACCGGCACGCGCTGGGATGCCTACTTCTGAAAGGGCCGTGCACGCGCGGCAGCCTTCAGTCAAGGCTCAGGGTCTCCGTGCCCAGCAGGGCCTGGTTCAGTCGCAGGATCCATCTTTCCAGCCATCTCGCCATCGTTCATCCACCTTCCCACAGTCAAACTCAGGCTTGCCCAAGCGGACGTTGATTTCGTTATGCAGGTGGCACATCCACTGAGACAGGTTGTGCCGGCTGCTCGTGTCCGGCTGATTAGATTTCAGTCTGCAATAGGAGGGAAGAATGACAGAGTAAGAATCGCCCGTGTTTGTCAAAATATAGCCTTGACTTAACAGTGCGAGGTGCTGCACACTTCTTAATCTCCAGTCCTTGCTGTGCGTCTGATGAAATGTGTCATTCTTACAGTGCAACAACTTTTAACGTATTACAACTGATCGTTTACATGAAGTAACACAGAGTCGATATTTTAAGTGACAAAAACAATACACGCCATCTTTCAAATCCTCTCTACAAACAGACGGCATCCGTTCCCCCGGATGTCAGCTCTCTGCCAGGCGGAGGAGGCCAATCCCGAACCTGGATCTCAAGTCCTCGGCGCACTCCTCGCAGGGGAAGAACTTGGAGAAGAGATTGACGAACTGCTTCATCTCCTGCTGCTGGCTGCCGCTGGGCGTGTCGGGGTAGTAGGCTGCCATGGTGTGAAGAAAGGACCAGGTGCTCCTGCCCAGCTCCTCCCGATCAAGGGGGCACTCCACGGGACGCTCCCTCTCCTCCTCCCCCCGGCTCTCCTGAAGAAAGACGACCGCGTCATTTACACCCCCTGCCCCATCTCCTCCTCCTCCTCCTCCATTCCCTGGAGGTGTGATCAGTATGGACTTCTTCAGTCTGAGAGTGTCAATATACCCTTCACCCCGCCAAGCCCATTACTGCGGATTCAGTATATGTGATAAACAGGGCGGATTGGTGGCTCTGTGGCTCAGGATCTACGCCTGTGGCTGGAAGGTTGCCGGTTCGTATCCCGCGGCCAGCAGGGGAATCCTACTCCGATGAGTAACCCTTAACCCCAGCTGCTCCAGGGGTGCTGTATAAATGGCTGACCCTGCGCTCTGACCCCCAGCTTCTCTCCGTGTCTGTGTCTCATGGAGAGCAAGCTGGGGGTATGTGGAAAAACAAATTCCTAATGTGAGAAATTGTATATGGCCAATAAAGTAATCTTATCTTAAACAGTTCTTTTCCACGTTAACATTTTGTCTCCCCATCATACTCTGTACAACAGCTCCACCTAGTGGGTGGGTTCCAACAGCCCCATATATCATCTCAAAACATCCACTTTATCAACACAGGGCCGCAGGGGAGCCAGACCCTATTCTGAGCTGAAGTGGCAGACTCAAAGGTCTGTTCCCATTGTATACCACCTGCTCCTCAGAAGAATCGGCAGAATTTGTGTTAAGAACTGGACTGTGAGGACGAAAAATGCTTAAAATCATCTGGAGCTAGACTATTTTGTACCTTCCACGTGAGCAAGAAAACCCTAAACCTCGGAGTTTCCAACTCTACATGTTGGAGGGAGACAGTGCAATTTAAAGGACAGTTATGTGCTCACGCAGAACACATCTGGTTAGGAGGTAAGGGGCTTTAGTACATCCAGTATTCACTAACCCATTTAGAGACAGCAGATATTCCAGTGTGTAAACTTAATCCTGATGAAATAAAGGTATGTAACAATATTTCAGCGTTTCAGACATAACTGCTTAAGCGTCTTAACCAAAGCTATGCACCTGGGAGAAAGATTCCCTCCTGACGTTCCTGACCTGCAACACGTAAAAACTTCCGAGACCTAGAAGTAAAGGGCAAGCAGACGGCAGAAAAAAAAGAAAGTCGTGAAACTTCAACATTTTCACGCGTCCCTGACAATGGGATTCAGTCTCCGTAGTGTAGAAAAATCTCGGCGACAACTCCATGTCCAAACCTGAAAACTGATCGTGCTATTTTTATCGTAGGAAGTCCGCAATTCTGCAAAGACGCGAGAAAAGAAAATGCATTTTGCACAGAGCAAACTGTAAAGCTGATCAGTTTATCCCACAATGATACTAACACTGCAGTTAAGTAAGCAGATTTAAATAATACGATCCACGTGTAATATTAACTGACTTAAACGTGATCCGAATACATTCTAAATCCAATGTCTTGACTCGGACAAGTGTAGCACTGAATTGAACCTCGTTTGCATCACCTGAAGCGTTGACTGTTTCCTCTGCTCTTTGATCCACGATTTAAAATCCATGCAAGCCCTGCAAGGTTTCTTTTTATGTTCATCCGTCTTTTCCGACGCTTTTTCAGAGGGGACAGCTGGAATCGCGAACGGGAAACCGGCAAGCCCGGCTACTGAAGAAGGGTCAGGCGCTCTCGTACCGCCGGTCGCAGCCATGTTCAAGGCGCAAAGGCTTCTGGGATGCATTCTATATTTGACATATGACAGACATGTCTCTTATATAACGCCTTATCTCTGGTCTGTACATATGCATATAAAACAAAGACATTTCAACAAATACATTAATTTTATTTTATTTTAACCTTCCATCTTTTTATGTACATAAAATAGAATGTAACAACGTAAAATTATTTGGTAATCTGAGTAAATTTAAAAAAATACTAACGCCAGCATGTTCTCTATTATTTCTCCAATATAGCTATATTTTCAAAAGATAATATATTGTGCTTTTAAAGGGGGTTCTATCACACGTTACCTGCCCTGAGCTGAAAGACTTTCAACTCAAAATACTCTGGAACTAAATTCTCTTTCGAGCGGGTTTGGTTGCACTCCGAACTATTTTACGGTGGCTCCCTTTTCCGGAGGGAGTAATTGTCTTGTGCATGCACTTTGTGTAGGGAAGTGTAGAAGTAATATTATTGTCTCCTTATTGACAGTCTTTCATTTATTTTCAAAATATATATTAAAAACCGTGTTTAATTATTCAGGCCGCTTTATGGCTTGCAAAATGTTGCAAATGCTAAACGCTCTTTTGTGAAATTCGAGCCTGGTTTTGCGGACAGGACACGTTGTGCGTGACAGAGCTACATGTCTTTTTAATTTCCAAGTATTCTATAAAAGGACACCTCGGAGTTAAAAATGGGAATCCTCGAGAAAATATCAGACATCGAAAAAGAAATTGCACGGACCCAGAAAAACAAAGGTACGTTCGGTGATTTATGTTAGCCTGTAAGGCAGGGGTAGCCACAAAAACGTGAGAAAAGATACAGACGAATACAGGCTATTCAGCACATCCAGGCCATTTAGTACTTATTCGTGAATTGTTCCAGTCATTTCTCCCAGCTGTTTCCTGGAAGAATCCAAGTTATCCGTTTCAACAAGATGGCTGGGTAGCTTGTTCCATACTCCCACGACCCTTTGGGTAGATCAGTGCCTTGTGTTCTCAGTTTTAAATGCACATCTACGTAGTGTCCCCTGTTCTGGTAAGAACATAATAATTGTTGTACATTATGATAAGTCTTGCAGGATTGGTCCTTAAAAAAACCAGAGCGCTGAAGAACATTGATAATTAAGGATGATCTACAGCACAGCAAAGACTTGTAATGGGATGGAAGTAACAAGTTAATAACCCCTGCTTTAGTGTTGCTTTTACAGTTTTAATGGGGGGGTTGGGATGACACAGAGAAATCAACCAAAATATTATAGTAGAGAGTAATTGTGCAGCAACATCAAATGAGTTTTCTGCAGCACCAGTTTCAAAACATGTTAGTTACATTTTTTAGGATATAAGGTATAGATTTCCTTGACACTACATTGTTGTTTTTTTGGGTTTGCAGCAACTGAGTACCATCTGGGTTTGCTGAAGGCTAAATTGGCAAAGTACAGAGCCCAGCTGTTAGAACCTTCCAAGTCAGCTGGCGCCAAAGGCGAAGGCTTCGATGTGATGAAATCGGGCGATGCCAGGGTGGCACTGATTGGTTTCCCATCCGTGGGTAAGGTAAGGCACCTACTTTCTGCCAAAGTCCTAGTTTTTACTCTGCCTATGTGAAGGAAAGGTTTATAATGTGTGTCGGAATTGGCGTACAAAGGTATATTACGCCATAGGTTGTTTGAGGAACTTCCTAAACTTCTGATTGAGGCGATGTGATGTTTCTGTTTCGTAGTCCACCTTCCTCAGCCTTATGACATCAACAGCGAGTGAGGCCGCCTCCTATGAGTTCACGACCTTGACCTGTATCCCTGGAGTTATTGAGGTATGGTTGTCTTGCTTTCCTTCTTTGAAAAGGGTGCACATGATTTCACAAAGGAGCCTTAAATTTGTTTGGCATCCAGGTCAATGCAATGGCAATATGAATCCACCAATATTTTTAGAGGTATTCTCTTTGTTTGTTTTTTTAGTTTGTTTTGTAAAAGGAAAAACATCAAAAGGTTTTTTTTTTGCACGACACTGGTTAACAGGTGATGTGGATTTTTTCTTGCAGTATAAAGGTGCCAACATCCAGCTGTTGGATTTACCTGGGATCATTGAAGGGGCAGCACAAGGTAATTTAATTGGAAGTGATAGCTTTGTGATCCCTTACAATTTAGGAAGGTTTTAATTAATAAGACATCTCATTTGCAATGTGATGACCCTGGTGTGTTTTCAGTGCTGGGCTAGCTTCTCAGTGAGCAGCCATTTTGCTGGGCTGTAGGTGTAACTGGTGCTAGCATGGCCTTTATCAGTGTGTGGGTGCTGGTCTTTGCAGGGAAGGGTAGAGGAAGACAAGTTATTGCTGTTGCCCGAACTGCAGATGTTGTCATAATGATGCTGGATGCCACAAAAGGGGATGTTCAGAGGTTAGTGATCTGCTTTTTAAATAAATTAAATTATTTATGCGTCATATGAAAAACCTCCAGTTTAGTTAAAAGCGAGTATGCTGTGTCCCTGAAAAACAGTTTATTTAAAATGTCTTCCTATGTTTAAATGCAGTCCTTGAATGTAATCTTTTATTTATTTTTTTTACAGGGGGCTTCTGGAAAAGGAGTTGGAATCTGTTGGAATTAGGCTCAACATGTCGAAGCCTAATATATATTTCAAGGTATTATCTGGGGTTAACTTATGTACAGATCAGCAATAAAGCAAATGTTAGTGTAAATGAGAAATAGCCACAACATGCTTAAAATGTATAACATGTTTGATTATAAGTTTAAAGTGAAGCCTTATATCTGAATTTTCTTGGAGCGATATTGATTTGTAATATTTTTTTTTCAGCCCAAGAAGGGTGGAGGCATCTCCTACAACTCCACAGTCCCCCTTACCCACTGCTCTGAAAAACTAGTGCAGCTTATTCTTCATGAATACAGTATCCTTTAATGTCAACCTAAAAAATCAGCTTGTTTTCGGGTTGTGATAGCGTGCTTTAATGTGTCTTACCCTAGCGGTGTGCTTTTTGCTCCAGAACAACAGGAACTAAGATACAGGGTGATTTACATGTCTTCTCTTTCAAGAGATTATTTATAGAAACATTACACTGTTCATTAAACCTTTGCTTATCAATTTTGTATTAATGGTGGCTGTTAGTTTATGGTCTCTTTTTAAAAGATGTTTTTTTTATTATAGAACCAGAACAGATACAATAAAACTGTGTAGTCATTTCATACAGGAGCATCAATAAGGTTTAAAATTGTTTTAGTGACATTTCAGAATGAGTATTATGACTTCCCAATGTTTGTGTTGTTTCCTCTCCTTTGGGAAAAAAAACATTTACATTGCTTAAAAGCAATTTAGATGACCTAATATGGTGCAATATGACAAACTGCCGTGTATAACACTGAGAAATAACTTGTGTGTTTCATTGAAATAATCAGAAGATATTAAGACACCAATATACAGATATGAAATATGTTTATGCATGTTATAAACATTTTCTTTAAAAAACATCCTCACAGAAATCTTTAATGCAGAGGTTTTGTTTAGAGAAGACTGTACTTCAGATGAGTTCATCGATGTAATTGTGGGAAACAGAGTATATATGCCATGCTTATACGTAAGTATAAAACGGTGCTGAGTGTTTTTTTTTTTATCTAAAGGGTGCAAACTGACAACAAAAAATAAATTGACTCTCATTTTTGGACTTTAGAGAAATTTCTTGTCAAAAAGTGTAGACCTTTGTTTTTGCAGGTGTACAATAAAATTGACCAAATCTCGATGGAAGAGGTAGACCGTTTGGCCAAACGACCCAATAGCGTGGTCATTAGGTAAATATCCTGTGGCCGTTTTTCTTGTTTCAGAAAAGAACAGTGGCATTGTTGCACTTTTTCATGTTTGCTGATAAAACAATGTTTTTTTTCAGCTGTGGGATGAAGCTTAATCTAGATTACCTTCTTGAGACACTTTGGGAGTACCTGGCCCTCATCTGCATCTACACTAAGAAAAGAGGAGGTATCCTTAGCTCACTAAAACATCTGTTCAGTAGACACAGAAGTTAACAGTGAATGTCCTAACTATTTTGTCCACTGCAATAACTAATTTTGATTCTCTGACTGTGGTGGTTTTAGAAGGCATCAGTGTTTACAGGCAATTATATAGGCTTCCCTTTCTCTACTAAAAATGTACTTTTTATATAATACATTTATTCTGCCATGTTGGAGACTAAGAAGAAGATAAAATAGCCCGTTGCTCGTTTAGATAACGAAACAGCATAGTTTTGTTGTATGAAATGTCGTTAGTGACCTATTCTTCATCAGAGATCGGGTTACTTAATGAATTGTCTTGGGTGGAGCGTCTTGAGGTTTCCCGTTTTAAATAAAGCGTGGGCTCTTCTGTTTGCCATGCTTGGAGAGTTTTTGTTTCGGCTGCTTCGTCCATTAAAACACCAGCAAATAAATTCCTAGATTTTCTTGTGTCCTCTTTCACAGTATGTGTGAAGTTTATATCATTGTGAATTTTTACAATGCAGATTTAATGACATGCATACCTATGTCACTATACGTATCTATAATCAAAAGAAAAACCTGTGTGTGAATATAGCTAGTGCTGGTGACGATGTAATCACTGCTGAACCTTTTTTGGCGTGGGTGCAGTCCGATAGTAACCTTTCTCATGATTAAAAACCCAATCCATTCTTGTGTTGTTTCTAGAGAGACCAGATTTCTCAGATGCAATTATCATGAGGAGAGGAGCTAGTGTCGAACATGTGGTAAGCAGATATTTCACGTCTTTTTCCTTCTGCCTTGATGTGTTTAAAATAAAATGAACCAGTTTTGTTTTTCCTTCAAGGAAAGCACAGAACCAAGGAATAGTGTTTTCTGTTCTCACTGTTTGTTTTTTTGTTGTCACAAGTCCCTGGAAACGTGATGTTTCCCAGTCTAAACTGAAAAACAACCACTGTTTGCCAGAGAAAACAAGCTGCGTTTCACGTCACACTTCAGCCACTGTGCATTTTCCCAAATGAGTCTCTTGGGTATAGTTTACAGCCCTTATAGCTCAGTTTTCGGTGCCACAGTTTACCAGCTGATATATAATCTGGTTGTGCGTGTATTGTAACCTGTTGTCGAGCAAGCTATCCAGGGAATATTCATTTCAACTTAATGGAGATGTTTGTGGTGTATATTTACAACTACATTGTTTAAGATAATTGTGGTTAATAATAAAACAATCTGTTTCCAGAGGACGATGGCTAATTATTGTTAAAGTGGGATGTAGTGAACAGACAGTAGCTGATAATTGCCTCTTAATGGATGGTATGCCACTGTGAAATAAACCTGGAAAAAGCAAAACCCTGAGCACAAAGTAGTATTTTGTGCAGTCTCCCGGGTAGAATGAAGAGTAATAGTCCTTTCAGTAGTGATCTGGCAAAATCATTGTGCGCCGACATAGTCTGTAGGTGGCCAGCACTGTGGATTTCAAGCTGGTGTCCAGTACAGTTTAAATTCAGGGTTTCATATGAGCTCATGTGACTGGACTTATTGAAGAACTGAAATTGTTCTTGGGGTTAAGTAGTTCAATGAGTATATGTGCTTGCCTGAGTGCCCGTTGAGCTCTGTGATCGTGGGTTCAAGCCCGAGTCTTATCACTGCTTGTCTTGAGACAGAGATTCCCCAAACAGTAGCACACAATTGGCTGAACAACCCCAAGGGTGGGCTGCGATTAGTTGGCCAGGGTTGTCTCAGCTCTTAGCAGCACAGAGACCCCTGCAGCCTGCTGAGTTCTTGAGGGCTTGCGGCACTGTAGGGGAGTGGTGCATCTATCCTCATTGCAGAGCTGAGCCCTCGGTACAGGGCTGTGCTGCCTGTGACGTGTCATGAATTGTCAGACGCTGAATTTAAAAGAAAATTATAATTGTGGATTATTTTGTTGCAGACACCCGATTTTTGTTGTAGCCTATTGCGTGTTTTTAACCTATTGGCTTAAAGCTATAAACCTGGCTACAACACACAGGGGAGAGGGGGGACACGTAGGCAGACTCCCCTGACTCTGCCCACCTGCAGTCCCTCTCCCTTTTTACCACTTCGCACACAGCACCGCCCCAGAACAGCAGGAGGCTGAGCTCTGTCAAGGTCAAAGGTGTGTGTGTCAGAGGAGCATTTCTGGCCTCTCCTGTGGGACATTGTGGAGATCGCAATTGAGACCCGAGATAGACGGCTTTTTCAGAAGGAGTTGTTTTAACAGAACCTATTAGAGATTCTAATTTTCTAAAAAAAGATTTAAAAAAATATGCATAACTTGAAGAGTACAGTTTAATTCCTTTTCTTATCTTTCAGTGCCATCGGATTCATAGAACACTAGCTAGCCAGTTCAAGTACGCACTGGTGTGGGTAAGTACGTCAGCTTTGTAGGCACATTGATTCACGCATGCTTTTTGGATAAGAAGTGGAGTAGCTGTTCGTCTTGATAATGTGAATGTTTTTTCTTCATGTCTTTAGGGAACAAGCACAAAGTACAGCCCTCAGAGAGTTGGGCTCACACATGTCATGGAACATGAAGATGTCATCCAGATTGTAAAGAAATAAAATATAACAGCCTGTGTTTTGAGCAATAACCATGTGGCCAGATGCAGCATAAAGAATCCTTGAAACAATTATCCTTGGGACACTTCAGTGTCAGGAAATAAAGATGTGCATCTATTTACAGCATTTATAGAAAACCTACCTAGCAGGTTCTTATTTTGTGTAACAGTTAAAGATCATATACAATCATGCTCTCCGCAGAACAGGTCCTCCTTAGATCTTCAGTCAGGTGGTTCCAGTAATGTTATCTATGCTTATGCATCAAATGCAAATAAAACTCAAAAAGAATGTCACCATGAAAAATGTTCACATCTTTTTAACTGCAGTTACTGAATTTTGCAGCTGTTTTTACTGGATGTAATGTCTGATAATTTACCTGGCAAGACATCTGGAACATGGAAGAATAAAAGATCAAATTTCTGCTTTGCTCAGTTTATGATGTCCTGCTCACGTTAACCCGCCTCTGTACATGGGAGCTGGTGGAGATTCCTAAATTCACACTGGGGGGAGGTCAGCAAGTCTAGAGCATGAGCTCTCCTTCTGTCAGATGGGAGATTCAGGTGTCAACATGAACAAATACTGACACAGCTGGCAACCAGACTAGAGGTGGCCAATGGGAATCCAGACCAGCTTCCTCAGGCCCCTTATTTTACCCCTTTGTCAGGTCAGGAGAGGGTGTGGTAAAGGCAGCAAAGGACAATGGTGATCTTCTGCTTGCATTTTCCAGTCATTTGCGGTTCCGATCTTAAGAGGCAGCTCAACTTTCCAGAGGAAAATAGTCAGCATTAGACTTAGGCCAGACACTGTCCTTTGGTCTAGAGGCACAAAGCCCTCATTGAATTGACAGTGCCCTGGGGGAAGAGGATCACACCCCGGTATTCGTTTATTGGAAATGCTCCTCTGCCATGGATTAACACTAACGGGATATCTCTCAATAGTGTACTGTGAGTTTGTGGCTTTTCTGAGAGGAGATGTGTGAACACTTTGGAGGAAGATGTCCATGGCCCTCTTCCCATCCCCAGACTTTTCCAAATGATAGAAGCAGGAAGAGCAGTTAAATAGCAATGGGTTGTGCCTAAGAAAAGGCGAGGCCAGCAGGAAACAAAGATGGGGCCCTATTTTGGGGGGAAGAAGGGATTTACAGAAATCGAGGGATGAAAATGAAAACTCGGAGGTGATGAAGTTGTTTGAGTACATGAGGAAAAACCAAAACCGTAAGTGGAAACCAATAAAATGTTATTTCGCATTCTACTGGCAATTCAAAAAAAGTCACCCTGCTAGTTTAGTTAAGTGCCTATTTACCAAACAGGAGGCTGTTCAATAGAAAAGAGACAGTTTTAAGAAATCGTCAGCCAGTACAGGGCAGCAAAAATATTGGAAGCTAAATTCTATGTCTGAAAAGTAATGCCTCAATCTACTTTGTGAATTGAAATTGCAACACTCCCATCAATCAATTAAATATATAGGACTTAACAAATCATGATTTTATAGTGGAGCTGCAGCACTGACTTTCTCTTTTGCGATACATCAACTGAGAACACCATTCCAATCATAGCAGGCATTGACAGCTGTTCTGATGCAGGAAGAGAAATAATATTGTGTGGTAAAGTGATTTAAGATTTTAATTTACAAGCCTTTATAGGTTAAAAGGAATATATTTTCCATACTCAAATCATTATCTTTCCTGTGATTATTGTACATCACTCATTTACAATGGTTCCCCAACGCTTTTTACTGTACGGTCTGTGTATAAAGCGTATAACACTATACACAATTTTGATGACTTTAAGCATTAGCATCTCTCTCTAAGAGAGGACAATTATGAGTTCTAAAGCTCCTGAATACCTGTCGCACACTGCTTCCACTAGTTCAAGGCCAGCAGTCTGATATTCACAGACAACGTGTTTATCACCTGCACACTTTGCACTTGACTACAGTACCTTTCTTATCAAATGGTATATTAAATAATAACATCTCTAATAATAATAAAAAGAGCGACATGAAACTCCATTGACTTTACTGAACATATAATGTAGTGACACCTAATGGTAAAAGGAACTAAAGGGAGACTCTGCCCAGACACCAGTTTAGATATAAAACATTTAGATGAAATTAATCGTTCATGCATTTTTTTAAAGAAAGCTGTCTTTAGAATCATTTGAGACATTTTGACATTCATAACTTATTATTGCAACTATATAGCTGCTACTAAAATCTAGTTTTGACATGGGCTATTTCGATATCGGAGATTTATTTGGATATTAAGAAAAACTCGTAGCATTAATGAATTATTTGGAAATTATATTAAACCGAAGTACAGTAAAAGGAGACGATTCCGATAGTAGACCACCAGTCGGCAGTGGTGATACACGAGTCTACAGAAACAGAAAGGTTGTTTTGCAGCGCAAGAGTGACGGTTTGGTGCGATATCAAACACCCGGATCATGTGACTGGGGTCTAAACTCTCTTGTGGCTGAATGAGAGGATCTAGAGCCAATCAGATCACTGGTATTGAGGTCAGCAATGTCACGATTGGTTAGTAGAGAGTTACTTCTGATTGACAGTAAATGTCCCCAATTAAACGCGAGACTTGCTCCAGTTTGCCCAATAAACTCCGACATTCGGGAGGAAGGCGGGAATTTTGAGACTGTTGTTCCTCCTCCGCACTTTAAAAAACAGGAAGGATTTATTTTTTTTAGCAAGAAGAAATATTTAATCGTCTTCGCCTTTAACTGGTAAAAATCTAAGGCGGGCTTTTCTGCTGTAGCTGCTAAGTGTTGTTAGTCTGAACACATGACTTCACGGCGCTACGGCACACTAGTTGCTGTGGACATTTTATTTCTGTTTCAGATACGTTATACCAAGATGATGGTGATGATAGTGATATTGTTAGAAAACTCATAGCTGATTCAGTGAATCCTTCGTCTTCTAACTGTTTCTGGAGAAACAAGATTGAAGCTGAAAAGCTTTCCAAAGGCTGAGCATCTAAACTGTGAAGATCATGAGGACCAGCTGGACAGTCTGTGACTCCGCCCACTTCACAACCATGAGGAAGGAGGTAGGCAGGACAAGAGCTCATCTTTAACGGAAGCTTTGAGAATTAAGTGCATAGTTTACTTTATTTTTTCCATGTTGTGTATTATGTTTTGTCTTTTACCTCCCTGCAAAGCAAATGTCCCATCTAGGACAATAGAGGAAATAAGTGGTGTCCAGTCTTGGTCCCAGTAGCGTGAGTGTCTCTGCAGGGGTGTCCAGTTCTGGTCCTGGAGACCCAGTCGGTGTGTGTGGGCGCAGCAGGGGTGTCCAGCCTTTGTCCCAGTAGGGTGAGTGTCTCTGCAGGGGTGTCCAGTTCTGGTCCTGGTCCACTCGGTGTGTCTGCAGCAGGGGTGTCCAGTCTTGGTCCCAGTAGGGTGAGTGTCTCTGCAGGGGTGTCCAGTTCTGGTCCTGGTCCAGTCGGTGTGTCTGCAGCAGGGGTGTCCAGCCTTGGTCCTGGAGGGGTCAGTGTGTCTGTAGATGAGGTCTCTTTAAATCAGCAGCACCTGAAGAGCTGGGTAAAGGTGTTTGATTTAACTGGATCAAACAGTAACCTGGTTTAGCTCCAGTCTTTCTCTCTCTGTTGCTCTATACTGTTTATATGACAGATCTAGAAGACAGAAAGAGATAACATGTTGACCAGTGTGTTGAAAATGTAGTCATTACATTATTAATACTTATTTTTGCAAGTCCAGGAATAGATAAAGAGAGAATACAGATGCTGGTTTAATCTTTATTAAAAAAGCTATTGCCCTTGCATCATCATTTAAACATTATTTTTTCCTGACAACTCTGTTAATATTTCTAGATAGACATAATGGTCTGAATATCTGTTAAATACATATTGCTTTATATATATATACCTGTACAGATACTCTGTCTCAAGCGTATCACTGTATTTTATGTTTGTATTGTCTCCAACTGTTCATTCTTATAATTGCTAATGTGATGTGGAATATTGTTGTAAGTTGTTGTTTTGGGAAGATGATCTCTGTTGTAGTAAACTGTGTTGTCCTCTTTGATCCCTCTGATTTGCTCCTACACTGCTGTGGGTATTTTCTCAGGGACGGCTTCTGGAGAATCTGTACCCAGCCTCAGGAATGGACAGTGTCATCAGCTGACTGCTCCTTCATTCCTTTCTGATTATTTATTAAACTAATGTACCATTTTTCTACATAATAAAGCACTATTAATCAGACTCATAGACACTTGTGTTTCAACCCATGTTTGTGCAATATTTATTTATCAGTTTGTGAACACCTCTCCCATGCACTTTACTACTTTATTTGGACTTTATTTCCTGTGGCTGTGGAGGAATCTATTTTTCATATTGATGAGATTTCTCCATTGATCAAATCCAAGAGACTCAGGGGAACTTCTGCCTTTTGAGGAGTGAGGTTATCATGGGGAACAGTGGAAAAGCCTGATTGTCCACATTTATAATTCAAGTTAATTCCAGTCTACCAGCAAACTTAGAGCTACTCAGTACAGACAGATGGAGTCATACCAACTCATAACAGCTTTCGCAGTGAAGCCGAGTCCTGAGCACTATGCAGGACTGACGCCCCCACTGAACAGTGTGCAGCATCACAGCAGCTACAGCTCACAGTAGGATTCAGTGCAGCTACAAGTATTTGTAATATTCAGTTACATCATATATGAAATTGAAAAGTTTTTTAATTCACTACATGGGTGCCGCAGCTCTGTAGTGGCTCCTGCTCCCAGTCAGCAGAGCTGTCTCTCCTTTATCTGCCAGGAGGAAGGAATTCGTTTTAATGCTTTCATTGACAGCGCTTAATCCGTTTCCTGGGAGCACTGTGGTTCATCTTGAAAGGCACTGGCCTGTGGTCGGTAAGATCCACATTCAAATCCACCTGTCCCCATAGACTACAGCCCATTTTATAAAAAACCGAAAAAGTAGATGAGAAACGCTTAGGAATTCTAAAAGAGGAGGAGGGATACATTTCAAATGTTTTGGCAAATGTTTTTTGTTTGAACAAATAAGTATCTCCAGGGAGTCACTCTGGATTCGGCTGGAAGTATAGCTCAATCAGCTGAACCCCTGACTCTTCTCCTTCTCTACCCCTGTGACCCGGGTTCGAGTCCCGCATGTCTCTGCAGTTATTTTTCCCTCTCGGGCTCAGCGTGTCCTCTCGTGATCGGGGCTTACACCCACCTCTTCAAGGCGCTGATTGGATACTGAATCCCGCCCCTTAAACCCAGCCACACCCCCTAGTTACCATGGTAACTAGACGCGTTCTCTCAGCAGCGTGGTGCGTCATCTTTCACGTACCGAGGAGTGCGTGTCCTCAGGCCCGCAGAGGTGGGGGACAGAGGCTGTAGGCGAGGCCGCAGTCCCCTGGCTCCCAACTCCCCTGACCGGGACAACGCCAGCGCCCGGAGGCTGTAGCGCTGCGAGCCCCGTGGTGGGACCCGATTCACGGTTCTCTACACCCCAGTACCCCCCACACCCCAACCCTGTCAAAATAATCAATCCAATTAACACATTCACAGCAGTTTATTACAGCATAAGAAACAATTACAATATACAGCGGTATTATTGCACGGATATCCAGAGTCTCATCTCCGTCCCCGGTGTCTTGATTAGCTTCCTTCGTCGTCCTTTTCGCGCTCAGCAGGACTCAGGTTATAAATACGGGGCGGTTCTGTGCAGGCCGGCGTCCCGGCGGAGGATGGGATGGCGGTGGTGGGGAGGTCCGGCTGATACCTCGCTGCTCTCCTGGTACAGGTGCTTTGCTCGGTTGTTGGAAAAAAAAATGCATTTGTTCTTACAGGTTTTGCGAAAGCCAGTCACGATTTCTACTACGATGAATTGGTTTTTAAGCAAAATTTAACTCTCATTATACACTTCACAGCAGGACAAGAGCAAGGTAAGCGGTTTCTCCCTCTTCTCCTACCGGGGGTTTCAGTCTTCACACCGGGTCTCACACGGCTGGGTGCAGTTTCCTGCGGTCTGTTACCAGTAAGTCACGAGTTCGCCCCCAGTTGAAGCTACACAGAGCGGTCGGTGCGACTTCCAGCAAACCGGTTCAGGAGAAGGAAAACCCAGCCGGACCTGCAACTTCACCGTGAGAAAATACAAGTCAAACAAAGCCACAGGGCCCGGTACCGATTTGAAAATCTGCCATCCCAGTAAAAGTGGTTTTCAGTCCTGAGCTGACCGGGGCTCTAGGATGAAGAGACTCGGACTCACCTGTGAATCCGCCGCGGAGCTCCGGTCACTCACTACACGGATCTGCGATCAGGTCTGCAGGCGGTGAAGGACCCGACTGCCGCCGGTTAAAACCCAGAGACTCACCAAGATACAGCAGAAGCCTGGAATACAAAAAAGCATATCGTGCAGGTAAACTACAGAAAGGAGAACTAGCACTGTAAAAACAGTTGTAAGCACAGTTTTAATACCACGTTCCACTTCGCAGAGTCCAAGCCACAAAACGTAGCCCGCCCAGTAGCTCCGACATCTTTACGTTTAAACCCCATTTTACTACGTCTTCCACCCGGTTCGAGAAAAACCGACAGGCTTAGCCCAGAATCCCGCAGCTCCAGTTAAACGGTAAATTTGAGAAACTTTCGTTGCTTCCAAACTCGCTATTTAAAGGCTTTGAAGCGACCTGGTCCCAGAACGGCTATAAATGAGCGAATTGAAGTCTAATTGCAGGCCGACCGCACCTGCCTTCTCAATCACAGCCAGCCAATAGGGGCAGCGGATCCCGGAGCTGCTCGTGTCTGCAGTTAAACAGCGGCGTTTTCAAACAGCCAGTCTGCACAAATCCCACTGCATTGAGATTCCAAACATCTAACAGGGACTATTAAGTTCAAAGTAAAATCTTATTTAAAAATAATAATAATAATAATAATTGCTTACACTTATATAGCGCTTTACAGGTAATGGGGACTCCCCTCCACCACCACTAATGGTTTTAGTCGGAGGTACCTAGTTTTCAGCTTTTCCAGTCCACTCCACTGCAGTAA